AAAATTCCTGCCTTTGCACAAGGCAAAAGCCTCAGCACAAGGTCACAGCAATGTCACTGCAGCAGGGAGAGCTGTGACACCGAAGGAGGGCTGCAGGAAGAGAAGAACAAACTCTCAGCTTCTCAGAAGTAGAAGGAAATTGCCAAGTAGGAAGGATTGGCAATACATGGTGTGGAGCTGGCCTCCAGAGGAGAATCCCTCCTCCCTGAGCACAGCCCTCAGCAGCAAACCCTCAGACTGCAGGGCAACGTGACCCTGCTTGGTACAGTTTGCTTCAAGTATAAATTGTGTTGTCTTGTTTGTTTTTTTTTTAAATTCTCCATCTGACCACTTGTATTTCAATTTATTTAGGCGCCTCAAAAAATCAAATTACATTCTAGGAATCCAAAAAACAAACTAGAGCTGTGCTTCACCTGTTTGTGGTTACTATTCTTCACACCTTCGGGGCCAGTAAGTGAAGGAAAAAAATGACAGCTGTATGAGAGCAGAGGGGCATTTCCCTGGAAGAGATTTTTTGGGAATGGCTACGAAGATGTGCACAGTCCCATGAAATTCCAGCAGTTCCTGCTGTTTGGTTCCTCATGACTCAAACCTGAAGCAGCAGAACACACCCACAGCAGCACATCATCATCCACAGTGACAAATTCACACAAGATTTTGCCTTAAGCTATGGAAAGTCCAACTTCTGGTTTAACATTTTGTCTGAAAAATAACTGAAGTAACTCAGTGGGAAAAGAAGCAGCCACAGATATAAATGACACTTTTTAACAGATAAATAATATTTACAAAAGCCAAGGAATTAAAAGCTCCTGTTCCAAATGTACTGTAACACAGCTAAATATTTACTTAGAGGAATTCACAGCAGAAACTCTCAAGTGTGGCTACTGAGGATTTTATGTGGGATATTATTCAGAATGCACACTTATCACTAACACGTTTTCTACTGCATGGGCTATTGTGTAGCTCCTATGGACACATGCAGAATAAACAAAATAAATAAAACCTCCCTGAGAACTGGCATTCTAAACAACTTGGAGCACCTAAAAGTTAATGACTACTTAGAGAAAAGCCAGAGCCTCTGTGGGAAATGCAGTCTTGCCTTTCCTGACTTGTCCAAATGTAAAATACATTAACTGAGTGATGTCAATGAGCCACCTGATAGCACAGAGGGGTAACTGGATAGGAAAACCAGAGGAAAAATAGATCAGAAACATCCCTGGAAGAGTTCAAGGCCAGGCTGGAGCAAGCTGGTCTAGTGGTAGTGTCCCTGTCCATGGCAGGGGATGGAACTAAATGGTCCTTGAGGTCCTTTACAACCCACACCATCATGTGAGTCTGTGACAAGAATTCTGAAGAAGCCCAGAAAAAAAACTTACATGAAGCAGTTGCCTGAAAAATGCCTTAATTACAGCCAAGTGACTTCATTCCTCTGATTTCCAAGATCTTCTCTCAGAAATTAGGCAAATTCAAGGAGCAATACAGGCTACACAAACTATTTCACTTGTGGTGGTTCTCCCTGCTCTGTGGAGAAAGAGCTCTGCTTTGCTTCACTGGCTGCTATATCCAGGGTGCTGTGGAGAGTCTTTCTAAAAACCTTCAGTGAAATTCAGGCCAAAAAAAGAAACAGCAGGATATGAAGGGAGAAGTAAGCTTTCAGTAGAATAGTCACTGAGTTTGACCAAAACAGTTCCAGTTCTAAGAAAAAAAGAAAGACCTTTAGCCTTATCCTAATCTTCTTCCTTCCTTGAAGCATCTGTTACAGATTTGCCTCACTCCACAAGAGTTTTAAGAAAAAATAACCCAAAACCTAACTCAGAGCAATTCCTGGCTGAAGAAGAAAGACAAAGAAGTATTTAGTTATAGCCATATTTTCAGCATTACAGCTTTCAGTACAGCCTAATGTCAATGTTAACACAGAAGCAGCCCATTTTCAATACTGAATAAGGACTATGGAATTTTTGTTTTTATACAGATTGTTTTAAGGGCTTCTTGTCATCTTATTCATTTATTGCACAGATCATCTCCTCCCACAAGTAGTTGTGCAATCTCTCCGTGGCAACAAAGCCAATTGCTTAGTGTCCCAATATTCCTTTCCCCATGTATTTACACTGCCTGAACATAATTCACTAGCTGGAGATAAAAAGGAATTACTATCATCAAGTTGTGCTCTCTAGGTCACATTTTGAGAGTCTGTGCTGTAGGAAAATAATTAAGTGAAGATACATCTACCTCTGAGCTGCTCATATTAAAGTTTAAAATTGCTCTGCACTCAAGCATTGCCACCTGTTCTTTCATTTTAATTTTAAAAATTCTGAATCCCTTTAATGTAAGCCTGAAAATGCTTAAATCCTGGAAATATGAGCATCCACCAACCACAACAATTACTCTCCTATTAAATTCATGAAGATATATGAAAGAATGGTTACAAAGATTAAAGGGTATTATAAAGCCAAAAATATATATGCATGTATATTATGTACTACAACTCTGTGTTTTCAAACCACTGTCTCCACTGTGTCTAGAGGAGGCACACATTTCAATTAATAATACATCCAGGCTTGATTTTCAGTTGTAACTTTTCAGGAGACTTTACCCTTTCAGGCATGATATTGTAGCAGTCCTGAACTTCAACTTTCATTAGAAGCCATCAATCAACTTTCTTTCAGTAAAAACACATGTTCACTGCAGACCACAGAAATTTTTAAACAACAAAAGAAAGCTCTAATGTGTATATATGTTTATGGCCACCGAAAGATGAATCAAATCTTGTCATGCACTTATCAATTATACAAAAAATGGCTTTTCAACATCCAGCTTGCAGTCCAAAACAATTTTCCTTTTCTCCAAACACTGTGAATTCACACTTCATCTCAGGGCTTTGGATTTCCTAAACTCTTAATACCAACCCAATCACCCTTTAAATTCTGAAAAAGTACCTAAATGGTCCTGCCTCCAGAATGCTTCTCCATTTCCAGGCAAGCATTCCTTGTCCCCTGCTCTCCCAGGGAAAGAACCATCTGACATGAAGCTTTTATAAACAAGGTGCTTTGAACTTACAGTAACAGATGTGCTTAATTTTAAAATGTTGTATTTGCTTAAAGCCACGTACACTTATCATGTTGCAAGCTTTCCTTTTTCTTTCAAATGCTTCTTATTAATTTTTACCCTCAACTTTTGGCCTGATTAAGGTCTCTGTGGTGAAGCTTAGAGAGAGGAGACATTCTGGTTAAAAGTGACAGACAGTTGTTTCCATTCTCTAATCCCTGAGATTTTTATTGGCTTATTAAATATGTATACTTCGAATGAGATTTCAATTATCCTGGTATATAAATCATCCTTTTTTTCTTTTTTTTTTTTTTCCTCTCAAAGAAAATTGACTACTGCCATCTCCTGGTCACACATTTTCAGCTCACAGACACAGCTGGACCATGACCAAATTTCTTGTCTTACACTACAGATAAATGCAGAGGTAAAAACAACTAAACACAGACCTGCTCTAAATTGTGCCACTTCAGCTCTGGAAGCTTTTCCACTAATTATCCATAGATAATTTTTACATTATTCATAACTTTCTTCATATGCAAACCACGGTTTTGAAATCAGGTTCCAAGTCCCACGACCAATAACATTGGCCTGGGGCTTTTCTTACCACTTATAAATATTTGAAGCAGAATAATTCCCTCAGAATTCGATGAGATGTTTTTAAAAAAATTAAATGGAAGAAGTTCAAAGAATTATTTTTAAAAGGGCTTGAAGGAAGAATTTCTCAGTGCTAGGGTGGAGCAATTATAATTGCATATATTGTAGACAGGCAGGTTTTTAGATTCTTGTTCTTAGAATGTAAGATTAAAACTGCTACACATCTCACTGCAGCACCTCCACAAACTTCTTATCTGCTAAAACAATTACCCATGGCAGTCATGTGCACAGTCTATGCTCTTTCCACACTGACATGAACTACAATAAACAAAAGATATTCTCTCCCTCTCTTTCATCATCCTGAACACCTTTACAAACACTGTTAAGCAACCTCCAAAAACAGCAGAGATAATACTTAGTGTCCTTCAGAACAGAAAATCTTCATCTGTTACACACCAGCTTGAAGCCCATTTCAAACCTGGTCATTTTAACACTGAAAATAGGTAATTTTTACCACATTTGCATGATCTTAACTTCACATTATCTTTCAGTTCTCCTGCAGCACTCCTGTGTTTTATCAAGCATTTTATGAGCCACTCCCTTTATCACAACATTATGAACATCTCCTTTGCTGAACAGCACTCTATAAAGCAATTAAGATTCAGTTGACTACAGAAAATGCACATTGCAATGCTCTTGTCAAATCCAAATTTAAATAAATACTTAATTGCCAAGATTCTCATGACTTCCATACAGATACATTTCATAGAATCACAGAATGCATTGGGTTGGAAGGGAACTTAAAGCTCATCCAGTTCCACCCCTTGCCATGGGCAGCAGGGACATCTTCCACCATCCCAGGCTGCTCCAAGCCCCATCCAACCTGGCCTGGGACCTTTCCAGGGATCCAGGGGCAGCCACAGCTTCTCTGGGCACCCTGTGCCAGGGCCCCAGCAGCCTCACAGGGGAGAATTTCTTCCCAATATTTCATCTAACTCTGCCCTCTGGCAGTGTGAAGCCACTGCCCACTGTTCTGCCACTCCATGCCTTTCCCAAGTCCCTCTCCAGATCTCTTGGAGCCCATTTAAGCACTGGAAGGGACTCTAAGGTGTCCCTGGAACCTTCTCTTCTCCAGGATGAATTTCCAATCCTTTCAGTGCACCCCAACAATAACATAACTGTGTACACACACAGCCATAACTCTGTGCATTTGTATAAACTCTGCATACAGAAATGTCTGGAAATGTTGTAGAGCAATGAAAACCAAAATTTTAAAAATCAGCACTGTTATGTCAGTATGCAACAATATTTAGAAGCCATGTGCTTTACTGAGAGAACTCTGCATATTGACATTGATTTACCTTCTTGTTGCATCTCCTCAGATTTCCTTCTCACAAAGATAACTCGGGGTCTCACAGCCTGAACGTGTGCAGCTCCTTGGCTTTCCTCCTAGGTATCAGGCATTAAAATCACATTACAAACCTCACTTTTGATGTCAAAGCACAGCAAGATTACATTCAGCTTCAAGAAACATCCAAAGAAGTTTTTAAAGATTCATTAAACATGTTCCCTACATCTGACTTCAAGAGAATTCAGCTCTGAATTAGCCTATTACAGCTATTCCCTCTGGACAAACATCCTGGGAGCAGCAGGAATGGATGGAAAAGTGCCACTTTAGACCTGAAGACACAGGAGACTTTCAATTTTTACTCAAAGCATGTAGTGGAAAGAACATAAAATTTCCCTGGCTTTCTTCACTACCCAGGATATCTCCCTAGGTATTACCCTCCTGACTAGGAAGGGAAAGATGAAAGAGAAAAGAAATATAAAAATTTCAGCACACAGGTTGGAAAACTCAAGCCAAATCTAAAATTTATTTCCTAGGCCATGTTTTTAGAACTGGTTGCTCCAAGCCCCATCCAGGCTGCTCTTGGACACTTCCAGAGATGGGGCAGCCACAGCTTCTGTGGGCAGCCTGTGCCAGGGCCTCACACCCTCCCAGGGAAGAATTCCTGCCTTATCTCTAATCTAACCCTGCCCTCTGGCAGTTTAAAATCACTGCCCCTTGTCCTGTCACTCTGTGCCTATCTGGAAGACTTAAGCTTTCTCTTAAAACTGACAAATTTAAAGCAGACAAGATGAGAAAGAGTTGAGATTATTTTCTGAGAGCATGAAGGTCTCATGGAAATGTGACTGAAGGACACCAATATATTAAATTAGTATTAAATGTCAGTAGCATGACAGTTCTCATGGGTCCATCTGAAGTGGGTTTTTTTTTCCTATTGGATTTGTAATACAGCAAAACTCAGTTTAAACTGAACCAAGCTGCAAACAGAAGTTTAGAGATAACACAGATTCATAACCTACAATTCTGCATTCTTGAAGATTAAAAACCATGTCTTTTGAAATACTAAAAATGAAAGCTAATGAGAATACCAAAGTGACAATCCCACTTGAAAAATGCAGATTGTATAAAAACATCCATACTTACAAAGGAATATTATGAAAATATTTTGCAACCAAGTGATTTTCTAAGATTTTAACAATGCATTTGGGACTTCAAATTATTTAGATTTACCATCTCTGGAATGTGTAGCCACGCAAATATGACTTCAATGTTCCTGTCCCTCCCATGATCAAAATGATTTATTTAGAATAGGAAGAGCTCAGCTTCCTCCAAGTCATTCTCTTGCTTCTTAGAGCTAAGACCATGGGGGCAAAATGGCCACAAATAACAGTCAATTCCTGTATTGTTGCACAAGAATAGGCAGGAGGGGTCAAAGTAAAGATGTATTTAGTCTGGCTTTCTATCTAACAGTGGCTAAGAGCATATATAAATCTCAAAAAAAATCTAATACCAGAAATGGAGGAGCAGCCAAGGAATTTGGGTAGATAAGAAAATTCCTGTATGACTTAAGCCATTTGTTTTGGACTGAGTGACCACACAGGCTTCACTCTTCATGACTAAAAGGCATTTGCTCATGCCCAGGGTGAAAACTCAGTGCTCCTTCTGCTGGTGAAAACCTGACCTACACACCAGTGCCAGGGAGCAAACAAATCTGGCAGCTCCACATCCCTGCCAAACCTCCCTGGCACGAGGATCCTGCTCTCTCAGGCTGCAGGAACCACCCAGGCTGTGCCATCACCTCCCAAGGCCAAGGCACAGCAGGACAGCATCTGAAATCCTGCATTTCTCAGGTCTCTCAGCAAACTTTGCTCCTGAGTAGGTCTGTCTTCTCCCTTTGTACGTAGGTGATACGGTTTGATTTCAGTGAAGGCAAACACTGTCTGCAGATGAAGAACAAGATGTGAGTGACTAACTTGTGAGGAAATCCTTCAAGAAGTCTGAAGTGATTGCTGCCTTAAACATTGCATAGAATGAATGAATCACCCTGAAAGCCTCAGCAGCTCCTGCTCTCTTAGCTGGTGTAATGTTACCAGAAAATCTGTTCCTGCAGGCAGGTGACAAGGCAGATCCAATGGCAGAGCTGAACACAGATGCCATCCTTAATTAAAGCAGGGGAAAGCTCATCCTTGTCACAGGGTAGGTAACTGCTGTCACAACAAGCTTTCAAATCACCTGGTACAGGGAAGGATGTAAAGATCTAGTAGAGGATCTTACAGAATATGGCTTAACCACAGTGAACATCTATGATCACTTCATAAAAAGTTATCCTGGGAGAAAGTGATGTAGAGTTAAATCAGGAATAACCACATTCAGGAAAAAAAACAAACCCAACCAAACCACACAAAGTTTTGGGGTTTGGTTGTGTGGTTTGAAGGGAGGGTGAGTTTTACATGCCAGCAGGAAAAAAAAAAAACCACACTAATGGTTCAGATGCAAGAAAAAGTTTCTAAAGATGAGATAATGTATAACTACCTACAGATAAAGGATAAGATAATATATAATTATCTGTATATCTTCTGTGAAGGGCACATGTGTTACCCCCTCTCTGTCCCTATTACTTTTGGCTAGAATCCACTTTTGCCTCTGAACAATAATTCCACGAAAGTCTGTTGTGGTGAGCTCAAAGTAAAAGAGGTGCAACATTAAAAATCTTCTCTGAAGATGCAACACATCACTTCAGGTGACAAATTTAATAACTGCTCAGACACCAATGGCACAATACATATCAAGGCTCAAAAACACAGACCCAACAGTAATTTAATGCAAGATACTTTAGATTTTTAAAAATACAAATAAAACATCAAATACAACAAAAAAAATCATCAGGGAAGGACAGAATTTGTCCATGAATACAACAACCATGGTAAGTATCTAATGCTTTCAAACACACTGTGAGGCCTCACATATTAGAGAGTAGTCTGCCACTTCATTTTTAGTTTTTGCCACTTGTTATTTGAATTAGTTAGCAAGTAAACCATCATGTCTAGGTAACAGCACATACTAATACAGTAGCAAAAAATTAAATGTCTAGGCTTGAAGCAGAGATCAATAGGATGTTTCTCTACCTTTAAGTGCCCTGAGGTTCATCATCCTCCCTGCCTTTCCAGCCCTGCCCCTATTAGGACAAATGAAGCTCCTGGAATGCTGAGTGGGTTACAGCTCATGAGGCCAAATTTCTACATTTCTATTTTCACCTCCTCAGCCATATATCCAGGATGTCATCCTGCATTTGAAGGACTGTGTCCCTAAAACATGGGAATGCCCCAATGAATGTTGTATAGGACTGGATCCTGTGAGACCACTCAGGCTGTGAGGAAGTGCAGAAAAGCTAAAAAAGAAGGTCTGAGCTTTAAAGAAGGGATTTTGTAAGGATTTGTCACAGGAAACACAGTCACCTTTACTGCACACGTACACTTTGACCCTTCTCAGCTGAATGTGTCACTTCAATGCACCAGTTCTGTGATGTCAGGCATGACAGTGAAACAGGAAAGTTTATTTTCCCAGGTTTCAGTTTGCTCTTTCTGACTAGGCACAGGAAAAATCCTTTCAGCTCACCTGGGACAGATCTTCTGGGAGTGGTGTCATTCTGCAGCCTGGCTGGGCTGCTGGCAGAAGATTTGAACCTGGCTGTGACTCCAGTTCAGCCAAAAACATTGGACTAGGACTTGTATCTGCATCTCCAAAAATTTCTGCTGAGAGAAAAAAATTCCTTCATGAGCTGGAGCCATAATCTCCTGGTCAATTCACATGGCAGAATGTGCAGCCTTTCAAACTTCCAACAAGGGGACATGCAATGTTAAAGAGAATGATTTCCTCCTTACATGGCTCATTGTATACCCCTTAAATTGCTCTTGTGGGGATAAAAATGAAATAAGAAATACATGTCTGTGGAAATTGAAAGAATAAATCAGCTTTATCATCTGTAGATTTCTAATGTGGCAGCATCTGAGAAAGCTTCAGAGCTGTACAGTTCATCATACTATTATATGCTTAATGAGCTTTATCACACTTACTGGAAAGAAATTGGAAAAGCTTCTTCATTAAATGTTTCAGTCCTGTATGAACTAAAAGAAACCTGTATATAGTCTCTGTTAAAGGGATAATTTGCTCTCTAATCCAACATTTATCATGGTTTTGCAGCCTGCAAGTGTGTAAAACATCTTTATGAAAAATGTACTGACAGCTCATGAACTAACTTTAGCCTTCTGCTATCATACAGAGCCAAAGAATGAATTTTAAGCCTAATTAACTATAATCATTGCTTAATTAACTGTAATTATTGTTCACTTTAAGACTGCATGTGCCACATTTCATTTGCATGTTGGTTTTTATATCCCTGAGTTTTAGCACTTTTAGCATTGAAAACAAGGAAACTGATCATCAAGATGCTTTTATGTACCTACATGAGCAACACCTGCTCCATCCTACAAATGGACACTGTGTTCCCATAATACCAATAAAAACTGGTCACAAAACTGAAAACAACCCACAGACACACAACCCCCAAAATTCCCACAGACACACAACCCCCAAAATTCCCACAGACACCTCTGTGGGTGACTCATTCAGCCAGAGGAACTGAGTATCCACTGCAAGGTTTCATGTGCAGAGATGCACACCCTGAAATATGTGAGCTCTAACACCCATGGTGTTATTATTATTTAGTATTAGCCCTGAAAATAATTATCAAATAAAATGATGGCCCTGCATGGTAGCTGTTGTGGCTGTCAGGAAATAGCTGACTTGCACTGAAGGACAGGCAATCACATCCCAGTGCAGAGAGAAAAAAGGTTGGGAAGGAAAGTGGAAACAATCACAGATCATCCCTTCCACCCTTCACCCGACCCTCCCTGCAAAACCAGATTGTTTTCTTTCAGTGTTGACTTCAGTAACAAAAGGACTTAGAAACAAGGATTTCTGTTCCTCCTTGATAGGAAAACAACTCCTGTCTGGAAAGCAGATCCAAGCTTTTATATAATGTTGTTTCCTTAGCAATGCAACAAATTACTGTTCAGAGGTGGGGAGGGAGGGAAGCTAAATTAAAAATCATCAGAATGCAACAGAACTCAGTCTGGGATTATAAAAATTATGTAAAAGAACAAGGCATTGCCCTATGGTAGTTAGTCTATGTCCTCTCAAAAATATGCTGCAATAAAGACTAAAAACAACTCTACAAGATTTAGAGATGACCTTAAAAATCAGTAGAGAAACACACTGCTGGTGGATTATCATCACATGCAGGAGCTGCCTTGAAAGGTGTTAAGATATTTACAGGACAGTCAAAGGGCATCATAAATTGAATTAAATAATTTTTAAAAATTATTTTTAAAGATAAAAGGAGATACAACCCTGTTGTGCCAGGCACAGCCATGGACAGTGTGGGTAAGGAGGGCAGAAGGACAGACAGACATAGGGACAGGTTCTGCCACTAACAGGCATCTTCCAACTCCACGGTCCTGAGCACCATTACAGATTTACAGAACCAGAGAAATCCCAGAATGGTTTGAGCTGGAAGGGACCTTAAACCTCATCCTGTTCACCTCCCTGCCATGGGCAGGGACACCTTCCACCATCCCAGGCTGCTCCAAGCCCTGTCCAACCTGGCCTGGGACACTGCCAGGGATCCAGGGCAGCCACAGCTTCTGTGTGCCAGGGCTGAAGGAAAGAATTTCTTCACCACGTTTAATCTAAATGTCTCCTCTTTAGTTAAAACCATTCCCCCTTGTCCTGCACAATCTGCAGATGATCTGATCACTGATTTATTGCTCCATCAGTGTCCTTAGTGCTGACTGACCTCTACCAACACAGAGTCAAACAAGTGACTCACAGAAATCTCTTATCTCAGGAAATATCATGCAACCTATTTTCAAACAACCTTCAACAAACTTTAAAGGAAAAGTTTGATAATATATAAAGTACCAGAACATATTTTCAGGGTTGACACTGCTGTAGTTGTCCAAAATGTTAGGTCACAGCTGGTTTAAAAGGTTACTCTCTGTGTGACCAGTTCAAATGTTAATCACTTCAAAACCAAGCAAATATTTTATTTTCTCCAAGATTGTTTTTGCCATGTGTTAAACACATTTAATTTCAATGCACTTCCTACTGGTCAAGGGTTAATAATGTGAGATAAGCTTCTCTTGTCAAATTCATAAATGTGAAAATTAAAAGGACAGAAAAGCAGCTGTTTGATCACTTTAATTTACACAACCTTTGATGAATCAGTGCAACCACGTTTGTGTTGCAACAGCTCAGTAATTATTTCAGTTCAGTTTAAACATATTTAAAACCACAGTCAACAAAATAAAGACTTTCTACATGCTTGCAGCAGCTACATTAAACAATTATAGAAGCACATTTTCAGATAACAACAGAGAACCAGGGATAAAAAATAAGAAGGAGGAAGGATGGACCACTGCTTTCATCACTACTTTCAACTGAAATAAAATAAATTTCCCTCCTTTACCAACAGTAACTCCCTGCTTTGTATAAGATGTGTGTACCTCAGCTATCCATCTGGGAAAAAAATCAATTTCAATATCATTAGAGGAATATATAAAGCAAAAATATACTGCTATTTATGAGGCACTGCAGAATCACCATGATGGAGTAATAACAGCAAAGAGGAGCAGTGCTGAGCAAGGGGACAGAGAGAAGCAGCTTGAAGTGCTGGTGCTAACACCTGTCCAATGGAAACTGCCTCCATCTGTTACTCAGAACTGAATTTGACTTAAAAGAATAAGATACACACTTTACAAGTTAACTTTTGTATAGGCAAATGGGTGTTTGCCATGATTTTTATTCCAATTGTAAGAAATTGCTAAGAGTGAAGACAAGGCTTGAATTAAATCCAGTTTTTGAAAGAAGAACACTACTAATTTCATTGTAGGAATTGCCTGTAAATATTGGATTTTGAATGTATGGTCTGAAATTATTTCAGATTCTGTTATGGAAAATCCTCAGAATCCCCACGAATATCATAGAGAAGAAATAAGAATGTAACTGTACCACCAATTTGGGCAAGCTGCCCTGGAGATGCAGAACGGAGCCCCTGGCGTGGTCTGTTCCCAAAGCTCTGAGCAGCTGGATGCTCCATAAAAATGGAATTTCCCATCAGGATTCTCTCCTGTGCTCTGGACAGCCTTGGCCTCTGACCTTCACTGAGCTCCCCAATGCTGCCATCAGAATCCTGCAGGGAACACCAAAACCACAGCACGTATAAAAACCCAGTGTAAGTCTTCCAAACCAGGTATTGTTTTCTAATTACATTAACCCTGAAAGCTTTTCTAAACCTTAGTTTATCCTATTTGCATTGGATGAAGAAAACAAGCCATGGAGATATCATCTGGGTTTGAAATGAAGATCTACATTTATCAGAAGGACAGAAAAGAAACACTTGCAGCCAAACATCATTTATTCTGTTAGTGGTATCTCTGCATGATGAGAACCTAAGCTACATTTTTAGCACATGAAGCCTTTGATATTATAGATTTGGCCACTGTTGACTGCCTGACCTTGAAACATTGGCAGCATCTAAAAGCTATCGACTCTCTGCACTGCATGTCAGATAAAAGCTTCAATTTTCAAGTGGGTTTGGAGGGCACTAAAAATAGGGATGGTTCCCTGGATCCTGACTTTTAAAGCTTCAGGTTAAACCCAGCTTGCTTCCATGTCAGAAAATAGGTGGAATACACACAAACACACACATGTGCACAGTATCACTCTAAGGCCTTACAGGGAACATCCAGGAGGATGCTGATTCTCCTCTGAAGGAGAAGGGACACCCTGCCAGAATCTGGGGGGTTTATGAATGCCTTGGATGGACAGACTGAGTGGTCTGTGACTGTGAGAAAGGGAAAAAGCAAAGCAGAACTTCATTTGTAATTGGCAGTGCTGATGAGAAAACGGCACTGCAATTACAGGCAGACTTGGGAGTTAACACTGGAGAAAGCTTTTCACCAAGTCCAGCCACCAGAGCTCATTAGCAAAATAAAGAAAGACAAAGGGACAGCCAAGGAGGTGAGTCAGGTTGGTAATTATTTAGACTAAACTGACCAAGACAGAAGGAAGAAACAGCATATGCATCAGTAGTATCACAAAAAAGCAAGATCTGCTGTAAATAAATGTGTTCATGAACCATTGCTGCAGCATTCAAAGTTCATTTCCCTCAAGCATTCCTCCAGCTATGCCAGTGAGAATGAACACCCAGTCCAAACTGCTATTTTCCAACACAGAAATAACTCAGATGTGTGACAAAAAATTGTGATGCAGATAATTTCATTTTTCTGTGAGTTTCTTTTTTTCTGCCAACTGAATAGGAATTTTTGAGGTTTTGTTCCAAGATCAGTATCAACAGCATGTGCAAAGTACATGTAAACACTTGCTGAGCTGCTCTTCATAGCTCCCTAAAACACTCCTGTGGCTGTTAAATGCAGTGTACTTGTACTGTTGAACATTCCACCTGTATTGCTGAAGTGACAGAAAATTCCCTGGTTGTCCAAGTGACAGGACAAACCTGGGACATGGGGACAGTCACACACCTGGAAAACGAGGTACACAGGATGTACAGTTTGTTTATAACAGAGACTTCAGTGTTTCTTGAGAGTTTTACACAAGAATGAAGCCAACAGAAGTGGGATCACTTGCAGCAGGGAATGAAGTGTATGAAGCTGTTCTACAGCCAACGGGAAGGATACATTTGGGGTATTTTATGAGCAGGAAAGAATCACTTCAAAACTACTGTACTGGAAAGCCAAGGACTGTAAGTTACCTCCAACTGCTCTATTCTTTCTTGTACAAAAACAGGTGCTTGGTTTAATCTGGTTAGAAGAGCCAGGACAGGATCCCTGTGACAGCCTTTACCCATTCTCCTCACCACCTGCCCTTCACTTGGAGGATCATAATCCTAGAACAAAGAAACAAACAGAAAAATCCACATAATACATGCTCCAAAACTGGTTTTTGGTAGGAATTTGAATAATTCTTACTTTAGTTCACAACTAAGCTTTTTTTAACAGTAAGTTTCCACACTGTAAAATTATGTCATGAAAATTCAAGCATTTAAAAATAAGCAAACAGATGACACACTGTTTTCTTTTATCCACAGACATGCACATTCTTTATTTGATACAAAATACTGTAATACTTAAAGAGGAACAAGGCCCCTCAGGCCTCCAAAGATCAGGGAAACAGTTAAATCCTCACACATCCTTTGCTAGCAACAATCTGGCTGCAGAGCTGCTCTCACCAGCAAGGAATCACCTTCCTCAACCAGACAGCCTGGATTGAGGATGGAGAAATACTAGAAGGAGGAGAACTACTAGAAGGAGTTCCAATCCAGATGACAAAGAGAGGGGAGAATATCTCAGCAGGCAATTGTTCCTTTAATGAAGAGAACTTTAATTTAGGTTCATCTGTTGTCAGCGTTTTAAGCCCAGAGTTTAGGGGAGAAGTGTGGCTGACAGAGGAGGCACCTGAAGATCTGCCAGTCCAGGGCAGTCTCACAACTGTGGTGGATGCTTTTGGGGGGTTCTGTGCAGAGCCAGGAGCTGGGACTTGATCATTCTTGTGGGTCCCTTCCAGCTGAGGATGTGCTATGACTTGAATGGAATCATGGATGCTCATGGGCAGCTCTGGGTAGGAAGGACAGGCCAGGAGAAGGGGACTCCTGCTCCAGAATATTAAACTTGTCTTATGGAGCTTGGAAGGGACCTCTGGAGGTTGTTTAGACCAGCCCAGATGCCCAAGGCAGCCCTTCTTTCAGTGCTTGGCCACTCCACAGTAAAAAAATCTATGTTTAAACCAAATTTCCTGAATTCCATCCTGTGCCTACTGCCTCTCGATTTTCACTGGCTCTTTCTTCATTACTTCTTTCCACCACATATTTATACATTGGCAAGGTCCCTCCAGAGCTTTCTCTTCTCCATCATGTCTCCTATAATTATGTCACAGCTACATCCTACCAAGAGGCTTTACACAAAGTCAGAGAGAGAACGTCCAGGCATTTGAGGAACAGCAAAAGAGAAAGAGAATGGAGAATATCTTGACGTGGGAGGCTTCCAGAACCATGGACTACAGCAGACATTGGATAAGAAACTATTCTGATGTTTTAAGCAGCTTTAACCAACTCCAGCCTCAGCTAACCCACTTTAATAATTTAATCATGCAAGCAATTAAAAGATGGCTCAAAGCTGCAACAGCTCAGAGCATAGCAATGTTAGATTCTGTTTAAAATGCCTTAAAACTAGAAACAATAAAGAAATGGAAGTGCATAATAGCTATCTTTCACCTACAGAAGTATATGAATTATCCAACTTTTAAAAAACATAAATTAGTTTGTATAATGTGTTTTTTTTTTTCCTTTGGTGTTCTGAAATTCTAACACTCCTTGTGAGTATGCAGTTTAAAAGTGTGAATTAAAAAAATTGGTGAGTGAAAAAGTTTAAAGCACATCCAATTCAGCAGGATGCCCAAGGTGGAACCCACATTATCTGTGATTCTTTATGGAAGAGTTCCTTACCATCTCATTGGCATCTCGGAGAGTACTGGATAAGCTCTCAGCAAGGCTTGGAAGAGATAATCCTCCTTCTGCTAAGGCTGAAAAATATTTTATGTTACAACTATTAAAAACATTCAAGTTACATGACAGGAAACCCAAGCCACATTCTTTAAGTGCAACACTGTGCTTTAGTAAATTTGGAAATTCCTACTGCTGGATGTCTATTATGAAGACATATTTTCATATTTCTTTTCCTATTTCTTACACTTTCACAATAACAACTTAGTACCACATGGTACTTAAGCAAGACAAGTCCCAGTTATTTTCCAAGTTGATCTCATGACAAAAGAGCAGATTGAATCTTTTTTCTTTAATAAACAGCAGCATTTTGTTCAGCGACGGGAAAAAGAACAACAAGGCCTTGTTAATCTTCACAAAGTGCAAGTTAATGCTTGCAGCTCTATAAGAATAAGAAATGATTCAAATTCTGATTTCCACAGTTGGTTACCTGCTGCAGGCAGTGGCTGTCCATAGGGGAAGAGCACCTCCCCTTCTGAAAGGGGTCTGTCCGTGGTCTTAGTCCCTGGGGGGGTGAGGCTGCTCTCCTGGGTGGACACCCCAGAGCTCACCGTGGGCACAGGGGATGGCACCTGGGCAGGGCAGGGCAGGGGCTCACAGAGCCTCCCTGGCAGCTGCTGAGATGGGCAAACCAAGGCTTCTGGCTCCTCATCATTGGCCACTGACATCTCCCTGCAAGGACAGAACGTGCGCTATGAATACACCAAGACACACACAGTGCAGACCAACATCTGAATTATATACTGAAAAGAACTAATTCTAGTTCTTTACTGAAAAGAACTAATTCTGAAAAGAAACTAATTTTGAACTATTTTTTCTAATGAGAGAGCAAAGCATTTTACAGAATAGTTCAACAGTTAACATGGTTAAATAATGTTATCTGTGAGTTTCTGGTTTTAACTAAAAATTACCACGTGTATTCCCAAGGAGGTAACACAAACATTTAAATGCTAATAACACAATATTTCATTTTCACTCTACGTGTTACTGGCAGGTGTAGCAACACAAGTTTACTAAGTACAGTGTTCAGCAGGGCAATGAATAAGGGCTGATAAATCCTGAGAAAGGCCCTGTTTTCATATTTTTCTCTAAACTGCCCTTCAAGCAATTAAAAAAAATGAAAACCCAATCCTGTCTTATCTCAAATGCCTCCTGATGTATACATTAAGCATTTCTTTCTGACTTTTTGAGCATATCTGTAGAAAGAATATATGTATTGCAGTTTTCAAGGAACAAGAAAATTGTGCAGCCTGTTGAACTCACACAGTCTTAGGACAGAATGGCTCTTCAGGGACAGGACTGGGGTTCTCTTCTTCCAGAGGAAGTTCTGCACCATCCCACGGGTTTGGAAGCTTTGGACTTTCCCTTTTTTCAGCCTGGAAGTCCCATTCTGAGGCAGGAGGGCTCGGTGTGGCTACTGGGGGAGGTGTGGTGACAGGGGTGACCACAGGGGTGACCACAGGGGTGACAACACGGCCCATGGCAGCTGCAATCTCAGCTCCTGCACGTGGGAAGCCAAATTTCAGATCAGAGAGGAAAGCAGGAAGTGTATCTCAGACAGAGAGAGTCAGTTCTACCAAGCACTTGCAGTTTTTGTGATACTTTTTGATAGTTATAAAGATTGGATTAAGAATTGCTTCTTTTAAGTACAGTGCTGGCACCTGAAGAAGACAGAATAAAACCTCAATTTCTTCCTCAAGGGAGACTGCTCTGCATTTTAAAAAATCAAGCTGCTTTACTTGAAGAGTGTACATTTGATTAAATTAACATTACAAGCACAGGAAGGAGCAAAAGACAGCTATTTTTCTGATGTGAGAAATTGTGGAGGGGTTGGGAGGGGTGGAAATCACACAGACCATAGAAATGTGCATTAATTTTGAAAATAGAACTGTTACCAAATAAAAGATGTTTGCTTTCTATATAAATTAGCCCATAAATTTTTGTAGAACATGAGTTTCCACTTGAATTATAGCCTCAAGAATATTTATCTTGAGAGATAACATTTCTTTGAAGAAGAAAATTAAAGGCAGTAGATTAAAGCATATTTGCTACTTCTAAACTTCAATTATTATTTTCAATACCTGTTTCTTTAATTTTTTCATGTCCATGAACATCCTCACTCATCTCTGGAGGAGATGGAGATGAATCTGGAGTTTTCACCTGAGGCAGTTCTTTTTCTGAAGGTGGTGTTGGTGGTGGTGTGGCCTGGGGTGTTGGCACTGGAGTAGGCACAGGAGCCTCCTGAGGGGAAGAAAAATCATAACCACAGTTATAATCTCTGTGCAGAATTCCTGCCTTCCCAGGAGCCCCAGAGAGAGCTGAGGAAGAGAGGGAAAGGCAGCTCATCACACATCAGCAACAGCTGCTGCTTCCATAGATCTAACTCCTCCAGGAAGCTGCACCAGGACAAAATTCATTAAAAGCAGTTAATTAAGCATTAAAATTATTAAATTGGGAAATCATTATGTATAGAACACAACAGACTATTTCAGTTGGAAGGGAACTACAGTCATCATCCAATCCAACTGCCTGACCAATTCAGGGCTGACCAAAAACTGGAATTTGTTGTTAAAGGCATTGTCCAAATGCCCCTGAAATACTGACAGATTTGGGATACCAACTGTTAGAACCCTGAGAATTTTAAACTTCCTGTGCTAAAAGGCACAGACCCACAAGAGAATACTGTATTTGACCTGAAGCCATAGAGAAAGCTTCCAAAATTGATTGATAGCACTGGGATTACGGGTGTGTAGTTTGAATAAAAGTGTGTAATATCACAAGGTAGAAAACTTAAAGTTTTAGAATATAGCAATATACAAAAAGCAAGATGGAAGTTTTAAGGCAGTGGCTAGTTGCTCTTCACCTTCTTCTTCATGGGTTTGGGTGGTATTTTGTAATTAGTTAGAAAAGCCTGTGTTGCAGACTTCAGGTGGTAAGTTATTGAGTTAAAGGTGAAAATAATTTAGGTGTCATTCAATATCACAAGGTAGAAAACCTACAGTTTAAAGTTTTAGAATACAGCAGTATATAAAAAGCAATATGGAAGTTTTAAGGCAGTGGCTAGTTGTTCTTTGTCTTCTTCATGGGTTTGGGTGGTATTTTGTAATTACTTAGAAAAGTCTGCATTGCAGACTTCAGGTGGTAAGTTATTGAGTTAAAGGTGAAAATAATTTAGGTGTCATTTCTTCATTAGATAGTTTAGCCTTGAAAGACCTTATAAAAAAAGATAGTTAGCCATTTTGTTGCATGTTAGTAGAATGCTGTAGAACTCACAACTTGTAAGACTGATATAGAAAAGAAATAATAAACATTTGAGTCTGAACACAAAGTATCATCTTGAGCGCTTTCAATCCCAACCTTAACAGAGGCAAAAAAACCCCAAAAAGCAACATTTAATGATACCAACGACCTCTCCAGGAAGCCTATTCCATATTTAACCACTCTCTTGGTAAAGAAATGCTTCCTAATGTCCAGTCTAAAGATGAATTCCATTATTATACGGATTTTAATAAAGCATTTGAGATAATGTTAAGGAAGAAAATATTTCATTACATGGATAAAACTGAGTCAGAATGATGATTTTATGGTAAGAAGAATCAGCTGAAAGAAAATCACAAAGAAAGAAATAATCAAGACAGCAAAGCACTAAAAGAAGCACAAACAGAATTGGGATGTTCCTTAAAAAGATGACAGTATGATGATTTTATGGTAAGAAGTATCAGCTGAAAAAAGAATCATAAACAAAGCAATAATCAAGACAGCAAAGCACTAAAAGAAGCACAAACAGAATTGGGATGTTCCTTAAAAAGATGACAGAAATGGACATAAATCTGACAAGCAAATATGATGGCTGTTGTTTGGCCTGCTGAGGAGGAATATGCTGGACCTTTGCAGGTTTTTCCCAGCCTTGTTTTATGACATTTCATAAAGAAAACAAGGCAGTGAGGCTATAGGAAGACTTCCAGGCTAATTTCTGAAGAGTATGTCCTCAAGCTGATAATTTTTATTAAAATTTCTCATGGGAGGTGGAACCTGCAGGAACATTTGGCAGCTCACACCCAACTGTGTGACATCCTGAACACTAAAGAACTCAGTTACAGCTGAAATTCAGTTCTAGATAGGAAAATTCACAGTGGGAAGGGAGAAATCAAGAATGCATAAACTACATATTCAAGAACTTCTGCTATGAGCTGAGTACAAATAGAAAAAGAAGAATTCAAAAACTTTGCTAGCTATCCTTTAACTTGTGCTATCATGCTAAAAAATGTGGAAAGACTTTAAAAAACATAATTAGCTACCTAGGATTCCAATAAAGGCAGGAGAAAATCACTACTACAGCTCAGGGCACTGAGGAAACCCCGTCTTGGAGACCACATTATTATTAAAAATGTTTATTAGCATTTTAGTATTACCTGTGCTTGAAACCAATCTAAACTGGAAAACATCAAAGTGTTGCCCAACAGCAAGAGTCAAAAAATGGATGATTGCGTTCTTTAGGCTAATCAAAAAAAAGGCCAAAGAGGAGAAAACTCATCTTTTCAAGTGAACAAACATACATAGCAAGGAAAACCCAACCACTTCAGCTAAAGGATATTTCAGTTTAAGCTGACAGAGAAACAAAAGGGAGATCAGGAAACGCAGAATGGACAACAGAAGAGGTTTTTGAGCATCAGAAGAACAAGCTGAGATGAACATCAGGCCCTTCTCAATCTCTAATGGAGTGGAAGAGATGCTGGGGGCTGAGCTTGAGCCCTCAGCAGTGAAACCTTTACTTTTGCCTATAGAATCACCTCTTTGTCCCTTGCAGCAGGCAGGAGGAGATGCTTCAGGCTAGCTGCACTGCAGCAGAACAGAATGACTGATCCCACTTTCAACAAAGCTTCCATAGCTGGATTTCTAAGCACAGCAATTTCCACAAGCATCCCAAAGACATTACACAGCACCAGATTGCAGCACAGTCATGTTGTTATCAAAGTAAGAGCCAGCTGTCATTTGATTATCAAAGGGAACACAGGAAATTATCCTGTATTACAGGAAGCTCTACTCATCAATTAAGCATTTATTCAAAACTACTGAAGCCAAAACTCAGAAAGAATTAACAGTCATTTTAACAGATCTTAAAGAATGGCTGCAAGCCCATAAGACCAAAAATAATATTGCTCTCAGCTTCCATTCCTTATTAGATGAGGAAATTAATTTTTTCATCTCACATCTGTTAGCAAGAAAGCAGAATAACTATTTTTGGTTGAAAATAACACGAGCTATCTTTCAACAACATGAAATTAGATAGCAAGTCCAGCAGAACTTCAGCAGAAAACCTTGAAAAAGACAGACTTACCATCACTAAGGTGGTGCTGGGAGGAGGAGGAGGAGGATCAGGAGCTGCTCTGCAAGCCTGGCTGTCACCCAGCATGGTTGCAATGGTTTCACTGAGAGCTTCCTTCACAAAATGATTTATCATTTCTGAGTCCACAGGGACACCAGCATTGACAAAGAGCTGGAATCCTCCACCACCTGCAACTTCAACTGAAAATGAAGGGATGTGAAGCACACACAGCCAGGTCTCACTTCCTAAAATCCATGTACTGTACTGCAGCCACTCACTCTCTATGGAATTTTAAACATCCCTTTGCAAAAAGTCTTTTCTTTTAACATTCCAGATAAACAACAGTAGAGAAAGAAATCAGGAGCATAAAAGAAGGCAACAGCAAAGGCAGTGACATCACAGGAGAAATGCTTTTCTCTCTGTTCTCACACATTCATTAGAGAAGTAACTTTTGACATATCTATTAAAAAAAGGCAAACAAACATTAGAGGCTCAGCAAAATGCCAAATGTGATTTAGGTGGCCAATAACAGAAGGTGATTTGTACAGTGCTGTTATTCTGAGTCTTCTTTTTATTTTAGATAATTTCTTTCAATGGCCTTGTAACATTGGCTCTGTCTCCACATAAATTTAGGTGTTCACTGCAGCTTTTCACAGTTTCACTGGTTCAGGATTATCCACTTTTGGTCTGAGGCAACAGCCACCTGCAAAGCTTGTTAAAATTAGTCAAAAATTGAGATAATCCATCTGCAGAGAACAATAATTCCTACTTACCAATGCCAGGGGTTCCAGCCTCACTGTCTTCACTCTTTATGGAGCTGCTAATGCTGGGCACTGTTTCTGTCTGAGCTGGGCACATCTCACTGATAATTTTTGCCATTATTTCTTGTTCCACCCTGGCAGAATAAAAGCCATTTAAGTATCAGCAAACACCAAGACACCTAAAAGCACACAGAAGAGCATTCTTGGCATAAAATGCAGGGCAGCTCAAAGGAAAATGGATAAGGGAATGGAGGTGAGCAAAAGGGGAAGGTTAATTAGGGAATCATTCCTTCTTCCACATATATTCTTTGCCACTTTGTTAAACTGCAACTCACCAATTTACCAGCTTGTTTTCTATAGTTTCTCTCTTTTGAATCAGTTCATCCAAAATATCAGCAGGCTGCTGAGGAGCAGAAGCCACTGGAGGAAACAAAGGACCATTGTGCTGTGGAGAGGCAACTTTAAACTGGCCACTGAGCTCCACAACAGGCTCAAGGAATTCTGGAATTTCATCCTTCTCCTCTTCCTGATCCTAATAAATAAGCAGTAAATTAAGTTATGGTACATTTCTGGAAGGCAATGTCATTGAGGTAGCTGTCAGCTTTTTTTCTTTAAGAAACATTTGTGGATGTGGGACAGCACACAAACCACATTCTCCTTCCTCAGTGTGTTGTAGTTAATTGATACAACTCTAAGCTTAGCAAATCATAAATCTGTAGAGCTATAAAGCCATAGGAACTGCTCAGTAAAACATGATTTGGCTCATATTTCCTGCCTGTGCTGCACAGGGCAGGGAGCCAGTGGCAATGCTAATACTTGAAAAATTTACTTGTGACCTACACCAGGTTTCTTTAATGTCACCCCAGAAATGTTCCTCTTCCAAGCAAAAAACTCTAGGAAACATTCTACAGTTACGTGTTGGGTTAGGGGTTTTTTTGTTTGTTTGGGTTGAGTTTTGGTTGTTTTTCTTAAAATAAATCAGTCTTGTTCTTTAAAGTCTCCAGTCTGAAAAGACAAATTCACAAAAGTTAACGAGCATGTAGTCAATCAAAACTCTAATGAACTTGCCAGCACTGAAAACTAGACATTAATAGTTTACACATATGTCACACGTGTGTTTACACTCCCATTAACTTCAGCTGCTGAAAGTTGGAAGGTATTTCTGGGCAGTACAGACAGCCCTCACAGATGTCTTGATTTTAATGTTAAAGTTCTACTCCCAAAAAGTTAGAGAAGTGACTTGGTGAGTTAAAATATTTGGGTTTTCCCAAAGATGCCTCCCTCCTTTTCCCCTGGAGCACAAACACAAGTCCCACAAAGCAGCCACTAAGCCATCATACTGTAATGCCTCCTGATGAATGAGAACCTGCAACCTCCACTTCTAATATTAAAACCAAATGTCTCTAATAGTAATATGACTCTCTAAGAAGAAAATTTGGCATGCCAAATGAAAGAGATGAGGAGCTGAGCCCTGATTTACCAGTGACAAATATGTGATGGTGCATAAAAGCTCACTGTAAATCCATATTTACTAAGATTAATCTCAACACAGTGAAAGGAGGAAAAAAGTGTCCTTTTCCCTTATATAAATTACACTTACTTTCAACCCATAAAATAAGAAGATCCCATGCAATATATTATCTATGAAAAAAAAAGTGAAAAAGTGAAAAGAAAAGTGAAAAAAGTGAAAAGAGAAAGAACAGAGAAAGGAGGGGGGAAAAAGTAACATTCTCCTGTCTCCTTCCCCACCTCAGCATTAACACTTCTCCTGCCTTAACACACTTTAAAACTGCAGAGTCAGACAGGTCCCTGATGGGTATTACACAAAGAACTACTGGGTCTTTCTGGATCTTTAAATAGTGATAACCTTCAAAGCAGGGAGAAAACCAGAATATGTGTATTTGGGTGATAAACAAAGATTTTTAAAGCATTCTAGGAATAGAAATGAGCAGAGAAGCTGAAGTCAGAAGGCCCTGGGTGCCTTGCAAGCTGCTCAGCAGTTCATGCTGTTGGGATATGTGTACTGAGAACAGTAATTCATTCTGACAGCAAATGTAAAGATGTCTTTGTCCAGCATTTCATTATGTATTTTCCTCTGCCTGCATTACTCCATAAATTTTCTTTGATGTTGCCTATTTAATACCTCTGAAAGTATGCAAAATACAAACATCTGGATTAAATAAAGCAAGTACATACAATACATCTTACATCTATTTAGTAACTCTGACAAACTTTTGCAGCTCTACTGCATTTCTAAAGTATTTTATATTTTATAGCACACAAATCCATATCCATTTGGGGGTGATATATTATCTCTGCTGAAACAAAAAAAATAATGTAATAGTCAGTATTTAATTATACAGATTGAATTTGAACATATATCAGCTTGTAGACCAATCTTGAATACTCTGCACTCAATTCTGCATTTTGCTTCCCTGGGGACTGCTGAAAATATCTATCACAACCCCCAATCAAAATATGGCATAAATTAGAAAGTCTTTCAGATATGATTGGAATATTAAGCACTGTATTTTATTATAAAGTATCAAGCCAAAATTCTATTTCCTAAATTATAGTCAGATAATTAAAAAGTTTGAAATTATTAGATGTTATAGATTAGATTTGTTCCATTACCAAACATATACATGCAGAGTCTTATTAAAGACTCCTGAAACTTAAGCCATGGATTTCTTCTTGATGGATTTTTAAAGCAATTCTCAGGAGCAAGGTCTGCATTGCAGGTGTCACCTGTGAGCTTTTGTCTGAAGAGTGGAGTGTAAAAATATCAATGCCCTGCCCAAGAGCATCAATGGGAAATGAGAGTTGAGGAAAATACATTTACATTTATAATACCTGAGCCCTGCAGGTTCCATATTTTGCTGTGGCATTCAAATTGGAAGCAAAAATTCTAACAAAAAATCCCCTACCTTGCAATTAGAGCACATTCAGAGAGAGCAAAAAGTGCATTTACTCTGAAATCCCAGGGAGTTTGCTGAAAGAACTGCAGGATGTGGCTGCTTGTAAGAATTCGAGAGCAGACTTAATAAATCTGAGAGTCAGTCGTGTGAGCTGAGCAAGTTTCTCACTCTGAAATAATCCCAGAATGGTTTGGGTGGGAAAGGACCTCCAGGACCACCTTGTCCCAAACCCCTGCCACGGGCAGGGACACTTCCACCAGACCTGGCTGCCCCAAGCCACCAACCTGGCCTGGAGCACTGCCAGGAGAACAAACAGGAAAAGGAAACAGAAACAAACCAAAAAGGCAGGGATTTCACACAAATACTTATCCTACTCAGTCCTAACAGAATTAAGCTTTCGTAATAAAAAGAGAGGGGAGGAAGACAATAAAAGCTATTTTTTTTTGTATAGCATTTTATGCACATACTTTCATGAATCTGAAGACTTTTACAACAATAACTTTGCTTTCTTTTGATGTCTTAAATACCCCTGCCACTCCAGACACTGATTTTATGCTCCCCCATTGTGTTTGCCTTGCACATTTTTAAGAACATTGTCTGTGTGGTCATAGGCCAAACATATGTTTCACTTGGAACATTTCTGGTATTGTGGTTAAAATATATCCCATTGCCAAAACTAAAAGATAAAAGCAATCCAGGAGAAAAAAAAGAAAAAAATAAAAGATGAGTAACTATTATTCACATAATAAAAATTTAACATTGCAGTATTTTTTGATAGTTCCTAAAATGATTTCTTTAAAGATTTTTTCTGATGCTAACAGAAGAACAATGTCCACAGAGATTTAACTCCTCCCCTCCAGTAACATAAGGTAATTTTGAAACTATAAATGAATAAAGCATTTACACACTTTTGATAGACAAACCATCAAATTAGGGCTGTTTTAATGAACTTATAATGTTAAATGATTAACTCATTCTAAAAATAAATCTATCTGTAAGCACTTGAGCTAATATTTGATGTACACTCTAATCCTGGAACACATAGGAGAAGTAAAAAGAATAAGTTTTGGGAGAAATTTTGGTTAAACACAGGGAGTTTTGCTCAGTAAAGTGAAATACAGGCTGGTTCACCAACCTTGTGTTTCTCAGGACCTCCCAGACAAGAGGTCAGTTAACCAAAGAAAGGATTTGCTACCTTAAAAAAAAACTGTGAAAGAGGATCTCAAATAAACCTGTTACCATAAACCAGAAACAACAACATTTTCAAGAATTTCTTCTTAAGATCTAATTCTAACCCTGCTCTCTGTGAGTTTGAAGCCATTCCCCCTTCTCCTCTCACTCCAGGCCGTTGTCCCAGGTCCCTCTCCAGCTCTCCTGGAGCCCCCTGAGGTGCTCCAAGGTCTCCCCAGAACCTTCTCTTCTCCAGGATGAAGAACCCCAGCTCTCTTAGCCTGTCACTATATTTATCACATGCAGAGTTTGAAATTGTAAAGTCTAAGTGCTATAATCACTGCTGATTTTAGAGAAATACTTGTATTTCTAGCGGATTCTAACATACCCAAATAAAAGCTAATTTTAGCTTTTTACTCTTAATTTTTCAAAAGCTTCTCTACTCACCAACACACAGTAATCTCTAATATCCTCTATAACACTATAAACAGTTCAGTATTGGTCACAAAGTGCATTTTTAAAGCTGCTAGGAAAACGAAATAGTTTCTTTACACTGTGTTTCCAGTTTTGACAGAATAATATAAAACAAATATAAAAATTATTGAAAGGAAAAGACTCCTTAGCAATGGGATTACCTGTGTGACATCAGTAACATCAATGAAGTTAGCTCCTGGAAGCTTTGTGTCTTCCTCTTCGCTGTGTATTTCTTCTGGATTCTAACAAAGACAGATTGCAATTGTTAGGTACTTCATCTTGGGGGGTGGAAATGCATTAGCAGGAAACCTTCATGACAGGAATCAACTAAATCACACCTTCCACTATCCCAGGGTGCTCCAAGCCCTGTCACACCTGGCCTGGAACACTTCCAGGGACATGTTAGCCACAGCTTTTCTGGTAACCTGTGCCAGGGCCTCACCACCTTGACAGCCAAAGATTTCTTCCCAATATCCCATCTGAACCTACTCTCTGTCAGTTTGAAACCATTCCCCCTTGTCCTTACTCCTGTAAATAGTCTCTCTTTCTTGCAGGGTCCCTTCAGGCACTGGAAGGCTGCAGTGAGGTCACCCCAAAGCCTTCTCTTCTCCAGGCTGAACAATCCCAATTCTCTCAGCCTTTCCTCACAGGAGAGGAGCTCCATCTCTCTCATCAACTTGCTGGGATGGAGTAATAGAATAAATACAAATCACTACTTTTGCCCACAATCTCTGTCTGATTCAGTGAATACCTGGACCACAGGACTCTGAAGGACCTAACTCCTGAAGTCAGGAAAATGGAATGTACAATAACCACACAAAAATAATCACTGCCTCACCAAGCCTTCACACACTCTGTCCTTAGCACTCAACACACAGCAGTTACCCTTAGGGCTGCACAAAACCTTCCTTGCTGCTCAGATCAAGATTAAAAACACTTCTGAAAAGTTGTAGGGAAAGAGAATAGAGTGGCCACTGCAACACCACAGGCTCCTGGGCCCAGTGCCCACACCATGGACCACTCCAGAAGAGCCAAGCAGCAGAGGGAGGGATGAGGAACATCCTCAGAGCACTGAAGCCAGTGAAAACAAGGCAGGCATGGGCCAGCAGGGATTATAATTCTTTACAGGACACAGGAACACTGTTTTTCTTAGAGTTTTACCATGGTGATCATTTAATCTTGGCAAAAGAGCTTCTTTCTACAATTTTTCATTTTCTTAAACAAATACCTTGTACTATAAATTCTTTAGAGTAATTACTCCATTTTTCCTAGAACTGTCTCATTTCTCTAACTAAAGAAAGACAATGAGAACTTTGCAGCAATTTAACATATTTTCCCTTTGAGTAATTTTGAATTCCCAGACAATCAGTACCTGTATTACAGCATTGACAGGAGAGAGCAGAGGTTCAGAGCTTGGAGGAACAGGACTTACAGTCCCACTGGCACTTGAAACACTGTCAATATCAACACTTGGTAACACCTAGGGAAGAAAAAACGCATCAATATAAAAATCTATATATTAGCTTGGCAATTATCATTGAACATTTTAGATTTTTTTTCTTCCACCTGCTTCTGAGCCACTAAAATTCAATGGTTTTCTTTTCTCATGCCTGCATCTGATATGAGCTTGGGTTTGAAAATCAAATTATTGTAATACAAACTAACACCAGAAATTGTCACCTCTTCTCTTGCAGTACCTGATTTCTCCTGTCCTTTAACTCCCTGACACTTTGTCTTGCCTGGAACAGAATGTGAGTGTATCTGCAATAATTACCTAAAACAGTCAGAGCAGAGGTGTGTTGGACTTCCAAGTAGTTTAGAAGATTAAAATATAGTTTGTAATCAAGGCATGTCCATTACAGAATTAAAATCTGTTGTATTTCTGTTAAGAACAAAGATTTCAATGCTTCATTCCTTTGGGAAAAGAAAAATCACCTTAAATATTTAAGAACTGGGTGAAATAACAGCAAAATGCAGGTGGGTGGGATGAAGTGACACAGCAAGGGAACAAAGCACAGAACACCCTACCTGTGTTTAACTCTGAGTTGCATGAATCATTTGTGTCTGAAAGGTGTGTGGGGGAGTGGGTGCAGTCTCAACAATTGGAGTCCAAAACAGTGAAGATGTAACAAACATTCACTTCCTTGACAGCAGACTCATGTGAAAAATGAAAACAACAAACCCCAACCCACAAGGTAAGGACTGCAAGGGTTGATTAATCAGGAGTGAAACCCTTGGGCTGACAATCATGCTTGAAAGAGAAATCTTAAAGGCCAAAGCAATCATCCAAGAAAACTGACATTTATATTTATACTTTTTTTATTCCAAGTTTGTTCTGGCTCAAAAATGTCATTAAAAAATAAAATGTGACACAAATTTTACAAATACCCTGCATAGGTGACTTAGGAAAGAAATAGTTTTCTATTTTGGCCAAATAATAAAGATAATTGTTAAAATATGAATAAATATATTACTATAGCATGAGAACTGCTTGGTCCCTCCACTCCATATTTTTCTAATTCTTATTGGAAACCATCTACTGATGTCCAAGTGTGTTCCTGATGGATCAGGCTGCCTGTGGTTAGCACTCATTAAAATAAACAAAGAAATCATCATCACTCTTGACATGTACCTGCACAGAGAGCTGAGGTGGTTCCTTTTTCTCTGATTTCATCTCTATCACAGCAATATTTGGTTTTTTAACCTCGACTGGAGGCTTTGGTGGCACTGGAGGAAGGGAGGTTGTAACTGTGACAGGGTGTGGTTTATCTATGATTACTGAAGCAGGCTGCAATGATGTGTTGCTGCTTTGGGTTTGACCTAAAGACAGTTGAAAAGCAATTAAAACTTCGTATATCCATCTCCAAAGGCAGTAAATTAATAAATTAATCAAAATTAAATTCTGCGTGTTTTGAGATTCTGTGTGCAATTACAGACCAATTAAAAAGCCCCTGATTAACATTAGCTAAACTACAGTAATTCAGCAGCTAATCTTAAGCTTTCCTAGCAGAAATTGTCAACTCAACACCGTTTTTAAAATTATTTACTTTTCTGGACTCTGGTGACATCTACTGCTGAAAACAAGAATTGTGTTTGCCCTTCAAAAACTACAGACCATTACACCCCAAGTACTATTACATTTATTATAACAACCCAAACATTTTTGTCTGAGACAGCCTTTAAAAAAAATAATTACCTTATTTCAATGTCTATATTACACTAAACCTTCTCAAAACAAGCCCTATATAAAGGTTCTATTGAAAATCCAAAAAATCCAGAAGTCATGACAAGGAATTTGCTGTGCTTGGCACAGTCCTAATGAAACTGTTGGGCTGAAGTCATTGCAAAAGTTGAATCCAAGGGTGAGTGATTCAGTTCCTGCTTTGGATACCAAACTGAAAACAAGAACATGAAGCCTAAAACCAAAATGAACCAAATCAGGTACAGCTAAGCAGGTAATTGCTGTGTTAGGGTGTCACCAGACATCCAGCATGAAGGATGAAGAAAACCAGAACATTTTCAACTGATCCCTCAGATTTCCTGAGAGAAGGGCAGGTGCAAATCTCATGGAATGATTTGGGTTGGAAGAGACCTTAGAGATCATCTAATCCCAAGTCCCAAACCACTGACTCAAGAAGATAAAAGTTGTATTTCCATGAAACAGCAGTGATTAACCTGCACATGATCTGCTCCAGGTTATTTGCTCCTACCTAGTGGAATGGCCATGGGGATGAGGTGGCCTTCCAGAGGACCAGGGGTAGCAGGGACATCCTGGCTGGGGCTGAAGAGGTACTGGCTCTGCTGGGCAGGGGCACACACAGGATTCTTCTTCTTCTTGGGGCTGCTGATGATCCTCTGTGTGTGAGAGCAGGTCTGGGTCCTTGCTGACTTCACCTTTGTGCCTGGAACAAGAGCACACAAATTAAAGGTCACAAAGGATGCACAAACCCAGTGACAACACTCTACTGAGCCAAGCCCTCCTACTGAATCCACTGCACATTTTTGCTGTGGGATGGAGGGAATGAGGGAGGGAGTCCCAAAGGGCAGAACCTGAAAGATGTCTCGTTATTGGCAGCAATGAAGGAGTTAAAATTGCAAGTTTTAAGTTGAATCTAGCAGATAAGGGCACAGAAACATGAAAAGGACCAAAGAACAGCAGTAAATTGGAATGAAATGTGTGACTTAGCAGCTAAGAAGAAATCCATGACTTAGGTTTGAAATTTGGAACTGAATGTGTGATTTAGCAGCTAAAAAGAAATCCAGAATTTAGGTTTGAAATGCAGCCACAAAACTGACAGGTACTCAGAGGAACAGGTATAATCTGTAAATTCCTGCTTTAATTACTCAGTGCTACTGCAAAATCAAGCCATAGCTAAAACCCAAAACTCTTGACTTCTGTCATCAAGGAAATGCTGATTTTTTGGCCCAGCTTTTCAAGTGTACTGTAAATAGTCAGCCAGGAGTAATTTATATGTAAAAATGTCTTAAGCAAAGAGCAGAGGAGGGCATTTATTGCAATGTGCATTTCTCACCCTATAGTCATGCAAGGTCTTACTCAACTTACAACAAACCATGGAGATTATTAGGGAAATTAATAACTTTAATATAAATGGATAAAACTGCCTGAAAATTGCCCCCAACAAGGTGTCAACAATTGTCAATCAGGCAGAAGTGTTGTTTTGTAGGTGTTACAATAATGAATTTGGAAAGAAACATGCTGATAACCAACTTCATGCCTTCACTACAGCCAAAAAAATGTCATTTTACTCCTCTGTTATTTCTAATAACCACCTCCCTGTACCTGCAGCCAGTTAACACGTGGCAACAAACACTTTTAACTGTGTTCACATTTAAGAGCCTCCTAATTAATTGAAAAATGAAAGTCGATTATTATAAAATATAGGGATACTAAAGATTGATAATGTGACTTTTGTTAGATGCAGACAAGCAGATAAGGCAGTTCCCTTATAAAGACAAATTATGGGTTGTAAGCCTGGAAACAAGAAAAAGTCATAACTCCTCAATGAGAAAACACAGGTCAGAGAGAAGCATCACAAGAAAAGGGTTTGTGGTCATGTTGGGTAAGCAGTGGAATGAGAAATCACAACACAATGCTCTGGTCAGCTGGATAAATGCAACCCCCAGATGCCTCAGCAGAATGTCTGGGATGGAGCAGGAGAAGACTTCCAGGGATGATAACACTGCATTCAGCACTAATTCTGTATCTCTGCAAATGCTAAAATAGATTAGACATGAATAGGCACTCTTCACTTTTTTAAGGAAAAATCACCTGGAGAGTGAAGTAGCTGTAAAGTGAAGCCAAAACCTCACTACAAATCAGATAATAAATCTCAAGTGCCCTATTTGCTTTTGAAGCACAAGGTGTTTTGCTATGGGAAGAAGCAGAATTTCTTCTAAGTGATGAGCTTGTGCCTTTCTGCAAAGCACAGGTTAGCCAAAAAAACTGCTCTGCAGTCAGACAAACGACTGGACTCTGTAACATAAATAGATACAGTTCAGAGGCTTGTGATTTAGAAGAGGTCATACTACATGATCTCACAGTCCCCCTTGGTCTTGAACTTTTGAGTAAAAGCAGAAATTGGCAGTGTATCTGTAATGCTGCCAACTTGTAAAAACAAGGTTTTCTCAGTGAGAATGATTAAGTACTGTATACACACAGCACCTCATTTTAATTGCTTGCAACTTTTCATTTTTCCCTGCAAAGTTTATTTGCACTGGGCAGAAACTAGACATTTAATTAAACTTAGCTTTAAAAAAACAGTGTTTTACATGTATTTATCAGTTCATATTATGCAAGAAAATAATTCCAGCTTTTTTTTAGAAATGATCTCTTACTCATAAAAGTGCTAGTTGAATTTTTTTCCTAACTTCCCATAAGAAACTAAGCATTAGTCACCATAGTTTATTTGCAAAGAAAATGGTTGAGAGTTATAAAATGACTGAAAAGAGACTCTCCAGATGGCCATTTCAGTCTTAAATAAACATCCTTATTCTAACACTAATTTCAAACAAGCTCAGTGGACTTCTCTAACAAAATACAGTCATTTAACGAGTCTGGATTTTGCAGCCAATCAAACCCAAGGCCAAAGATTTCTAATTATTTTGAAGCCTTTCTCACCTGGTACATCAAGGCCAGGAAGGGAATCTGTGGGTGCAGATCTGTAAAGGGAAAAACTCACCATGCCTAATGTGGAAGAGATTTGTTTATTTCCTTCTTTGTTTTTTTAAGAACCTGGTGCTTTGAAGTGATCATTCAACCTTGGTGCATTTTATTTACATTCCTCCTATAGAGGAGCACAGAACTGTTCCTGATTTTATTATTTATACTTTGCTTTGCCATAACAGCTTCTTCCAGCCCCCAAATGATTGAACTGTTTGGTCTTTGTGAGACCCACATGAAACGCCAGGGATTATTTTTCCATTTTATTGGCAAGGTAAGGAAAGGACAAAAATGAAGCAGTTTGGCCAACAGTCTTATCAAGAGGCAAAGATAAATAATGCCAGTATCAAACAAACCTCAGTCTCCATTAAAATCAGAAAGTTTGGGAATGGGATACACTCACTGGAGTGCTGCTCCTTTACACAACTTGCAAAAAAATCCATTTTTCCCTCAGATAAGAACACAAGGAGGTGTCTTATTTTATTTACTGTCAGGATAGAGACAAAACCATAACTTCCCATAACTCCAGCCTGATATTAAATAGAGAAACAAATTTTATGGTGGCTTTACTGTTGCAAACACATGTTCTTCTCTGCAGCATGACTTCATGGCTTGGAAGGAACCACTCTGGGAAAAGGCTATCCAGAGTTCACTCTGTTTTCCAGCAAAGACCTCTGAAGCTGTTTGTCACACACAGGAGCTCTGCAAGATTGAAGGCAGCATTGATCCCGTGCAGTTTTCCCTTTCATTTCTATTTGCACCCAACAGAAAAAAGCTGAAGCACAGGAGCAGCTCATTCCAACTGCACAGAACCTTTCATTTCACTGACACCACTGAATTTCAACTGGTGGTTTCAAATTATCAAATTACCTATTTGTTATAATTAGACTGGGGAGTGGGACACTCTTTCTGCCACTTTACTAGATATTGTTTCTGGAATTATGAAATTGGCCTTCCAGGAAAGGTTATGACCTTCTGTAAAGGACATGAGCCCAATAAATAGAGAAGAAAATTCATTTAGGACTCAGCAAAAGCAGAACTGCTGATTAAATATTTTTAAAGGAGTGCCTGTTCTCAATCCAAATCTTAGTGGTCACTGTGTCACTGTTATTACTACCCTAAATGCTTACTAGCACACATTTCACCCAAAGATATCTATATAGAATAAATTAAATTATGGGTGTACAGCACAGCCAATAGTCAAAACCAGTGTTATATGATGCTTCAAGTGAGTATAGCAGAGGGTACACCATTTTTCACCAAAGAAAAGACATCCAAGAGAGGGCAAACAAAATACCTCAGTCAGTTTTCATGTAACAAGGTCTCACTTTTTAAAAGATGGTGAGCTTTGAAAAGTTTTCTGTGTTTTTGCCAGGACTATAACCCCCATTTTCCAGGACGGTGGTGAAAATTGTGGATGTTTTCTACCAATAACACTTTTTCTTCACAAATCACAACTGGGTCCAGAGCACAGGTAAGGAAAAGTGCCATAAAGATCAGGTCAGGCCAAACAAGAGATTCTTGTTCAATTTGAGGACTTGTCACTGTGGATGTACATCATAACCACAGAATCACAGAAGGGTTTGGGCTGGAAGGAACCTTCAGGATTAAGCAGTTCCAACCCCCTGCCATGGGCGAGAACACCTTCCACTAAACCAGGTTGTTATTTAAACAATATTTAAACAAACAAACAAATTTTAAATATAATACTAATACTACTACTAATAATATTGTGGTGATGATGATGTTTAAAAATCCCCAGCCTCAAACCCCAGCACTGCCTGCCTTCAGAAACACAGATATGTTTTACACCATCCATTGCAATGGCCTAAAAACATGATTTCATCAAGTGACTGGCTGCCTTCTGGTGTTAATCTCTCATATTTCACACAGAATATAATGTTTTGACAGCTGTAATAAAAACCCAGGCAGCATTTTTAAACATGGCATTTAAGACTGCATCAAGTATATTTTCCCTGCATGGGTAACAACAGCCTAAGTGCAAGGAGCATGGAGGGAGCCAGTTAATATTTTCCATGGGTGCACATCTTATTAACTCCATTGTGCCCACCACACCTTATCCCCCTCTTCCTCTTAAGCCTCTCTCCCATCTCCACACTTTCCCTTCATCATTATCTTTTTTCATGTCATTTCTCCCCAGTAAAATGATCCACACTATTTTTTTTAATAACAATTCAAGATTACTCTTAGTTTTTGCATTAAGAATCAGGTAAGTTTTGAAAAGGTACTTAAGAAATAAAGCAGATCAGATTAATTACTAACTCTAGCTGAAGTTTATCTACACTGACCTGTGTCAGATATCATATAGTCTCTCTTTGTAGTTATTCTTACACATTTTTAATAGGTTAGAAAATTAGGACCCTCTTATCCTAACACTTTGCCAACAAAACTAAGGAACATAATTAATTATTAATCAACTAATAACCTTTATCAATTAAATAACCTTAACAAGCTATCACAGAAAGGATTTCTGCTCTGCTTATAACTCTTAACAGCATGAAGAAAAAGGAGTTACTTGCACTTAGTGAACTTAACCAATGATTCTGATTACATCTTTCACTATTTTTATCTTCATGCCCATATATTTAAATTTTCATCTTTCAATTGATGTATTTGAAACAAGAAATTCAACTTTCTTCAGTTTTCAAGTCTCAGTACATTTCTGAACTCTGAATGAGTTAAATGAATGAGTTAAATATTCAAATGAAAAATCACTGGATAAACCTGACACAAAAAATATGTTTCCCAGTAACATTTATCAAAAACTGAGTTCATTTATCAACACACTCACTTGTGATTAATTTTAGCAGTTCATCTCATTAAATCTGGGACAACAATAAATACATAGGAATACATTAATCAAATTTAGGAATAAGTACTTATTTGACAATCTAAAATAAATGAGAGACACATTAAGCAAAATTTAAAAACTTCTGATATTTTTTAGTTTTGAAAAGAGGGCCTTAAATAGAAATAAATTATTTCAAATGGACAGGACCTACAACAACAATCTAGTCCAACTGCCTGACCACTTCAGGGCTGACCAAAAGTTAAGTTAAAGGCATTTTCCAAATGCCTCTTAAGCCCTGACCAACCTGAGGCAGTGACCACCTCTCTGAAAAGCCACTGCAGTAGCTCAAGCTTTATATTGAAAAGCAGATAAACCAAAATTAACAGATTCATTTCCACAAGGAATTCCTGGTAGAAAAACAGGGAAGGAACACCTTGTTCCCATCAAAGAATCACTCACCTCTAACAGTCTCTATCAGCTTGGGTCTGGGAAGTTTAGATTTGGGAGAGGGAGAGTTGAATCTCAGGTAGGGTCCTTTTTTAAGCGTGCTCCGGTGGCCGTGGTAAATGGGTTTCCCATAAACTTGAGACAGATAATCTTCACTTTGGACAACTGCAGTTCCACCTACAGCTTCCTGCTGGACACCAGAAAGGAAAAAAAAAAGTAATTTACAATTCTTCATTCATGTAAATTGGAGCAGGACAGAGCTATCACCTTCATTTGGAATTAGTACACCTGCACACACCATTTTTCATGTCAATACTGAACAGTTTTTCCCAGAAAAGGAACCAGTACTTGGCAACTCACGTCTGCCTTTTCTTCTTTGCTCTGCACATTTTCAGAAAAGTAAGTTTTAAACTTCTGTTTCTTTGTGTTATCTTCCACCTGCTTCTGCAATGGCTGAGCTGGAGGTGAAGGCTTTTTTGTCAAGCCTCCTGGGATGTTTTGAGTTTTCTCTTTAGTTTCTTTCTTGATCTTCACAGGCCTGAGGTTTTGGGCTCTCTTGTTCCATGGGGCTTTTTGATCATATTTCCCTTGTTCTGAATCACTTCTTGCCATTTCAACCTAAATAGAAAACATAAATATAATAAATGGAGATTTTTGTCTTCAAGGCTATCAGCAGAGTGTGTGGATAATTCTGAAGCTCTGAGAAAGGACCTGTTTCTCATGTTGGGCAGCAAGTGAGACCAGGGATTTTCATTACACAACCACAGTTGTAAAACAGAGGTAAATATTTTATTTATTATGTATTTATTAATTATTTTTATTTATTTGTTATATTTCTTTTACTATAGCTTACTGCATGTCAGCAATAATAGGCAGCTTTCTCACATTTTCAAGAGGTGAGTAAATCACTTTACTGTGGACACGAAAGAACAAGGCAAGGTGGAAAAACCCAACACAAAAAAATCTGAACTCATTTTCCCAGCCCTACCTGGATTTCCTCACTGATTGCCTTGATCCACTCATCCACAGTCCTTCGGATACGAATCTCTTCCAGGACATCTCTGAAAAAGAAAAAAGAACCATTTTAGGTCAATGCTTCTCAAATTGCACAGATTTGTTCCTGGGAAAGCAGTCACCTTTAAATGCTCTAAAAACAGAAGTTCAGAACACAGACAGTGAGATTCTGCACCTCTACACTCCCCAAAAAGCACCAGCCCCAACCCCAAATCTCTTCTTGCATGGTGCCACCTGCAAACCCCACTCCCTGCTGGTAAACACTGACATTATTATAAATATTTTAGGAATAAGAGGCAGCCATGTGTCACTTTCTACTTTGATCACAACTGAAAAAAGCAAGAAAACAAAAATATTCCAACTTAACAAAAAGCAGGTGACAAATTACTACATCCCCTAAAAGATAATGAGGGCAGGTAACATGCCTCAAAAAAAACCCTCCTACATAGAGAATATTTACCTTCCTCAGGAAAATGCAGGTTTAGATTGTATTTTAATAGAAAATTTCCATTATTATTCGAGCAGGAGTATTTAACACAACTAACAAAGCAAACGTTTAAAAGCCAAAGATCTGTTGTGAGGTAATTAAATTCTGTAAATTCACAGGCTTATAAAGCCTCTTCTGCTCTGAATAATTATATTAGGCTTCAACTTTCTTTTTAATGCAAGTTGGCAAGGAAACAGTTAAATGCCCTGGCAGCAGAGCAGTTTGTCCAGCTGATAAAGCCTCAGAAATCAGATTTAGGCACCTGACAAAAATCAGTTCACACCACAAGGGCTGAAAAACATCTGAATTTCAAGAATCAAACAATGATTGCTAGAAAAAGTCAATAATCCTTTTTGCAGGGAAGAACATGAGTTCTTCAACGCCCAGATATGGAAACACAATCTCACAAAGCACTGAACTGCAGGGTCTGACCTGTTTGTACTCAAGGAGTTACTGAAAGCATACATGGCATCTCCATCTTTTGCTTGAGTAACAGCTTCCAGATTCTCCTCAAGGACTTTTTTATTGTTTTGCACTCCTCTCAAAATCCTTTCAGCATCTGTCAGAATAGACCTTGGCACTTGGACATTTTGAAGGATGGATGGTTTGCTGACTGGATGATGTTCAGGAGGATCAGGTACAACAGGAGGATTTTTTGTCTAAAATTGAAACAGAACCTCTAGTTTTTAATCAGAGATTGTAATTTTCTATTAATTTGTTATCACATCAATGCCATCATATGAAATCTTGCCCATGTGCACTATCAGCAACTTCAGTTACTCAAGAATGTTCATTATGTTGCAAATATATTTAGAGAAGTGAAAGACATCCAAAAGATCTCAAATGGAAAATGATGGGAAGTAAGAGAGGCAATGCTAATGAGGCTAATAAGCATGTGAAAAGATGGCAATTAGATACATGAAGTATCACAAGCAAATCTCTCCATGTAACAGTAATTAAATATAATTAAGAGCCTAATAAAAGCCCAAGTCCTCTAAATATATGCACTTGTTTGGCATCAATCTACCCCCAAGAAACACCGAGCAATACTTGTAAGTTTTAACAAGATAAAACCCACAGCAGCCCCTTGATCCTCTTTCACTTTTACTCGTTTTCACTTTTCAGAAAGAACAATGAAACCTCTCACTTTGCAGAACCCTTTTACAGAGATAAAAATCGAGCATAAATTAGCTGCTAAGTACAAAAGAAAGGGACACAAACACAGGAAACAAGTTCTCACATTCATTCTCACACTCCTAAGGAAACACCCAGGGGCCCATGAAAACTTCATCAAACAGTAAAAATATTTCAAAGTGATTAATGTACATTAAATAAACACCTCAAACCAAAACCAAAATGCCCAGACTGTGAAAACATCAACTGAATGCACAGAAAAAAGAAAATCTCACAGATCACAACTTAGTTTTGGCTTTAAAGTTACTCTTTCTTCAAATCAGAATTAAACAAAAGTTTATGTTCAAGCAGACGTACTGCCACAATGCCATTACAAAACAGGAACCAACACTCTGATCCCATGACCTTGGTTTTGGCCTGGTGTAAAAGAGTAAAAGACAAGATACCAAATTATTTATCAATTTTATATAGGCATTCATTTTAAAATGAAACTTTTTGACAGATACTAACTCAGTAAGGTAAAATCTGTGAGGAAAGGTAAGAAATACAGATACCTGAAAAATTGTAAAATGATGCAGATTTACTGAGACCCAGATCATGAAATGGTAACTGGATCTGTTAAATATATAAAAAATGCTGGTAGCAGCAGCCCACACTGTGCCAGTCTGACATGATCCCCTCAAGGGATTTCCTAGGACTGAGCCAGCCAGGAGGAATGTGATCTGTATGAGAGCAATCCTTTAACAAACACCCAGGTGTGCCACAGGCAGGCAGTGACATTTCATTGCAAACACACTCAACACTGCTTCAGCATTAGAGCATTTCATAGAAAGCCCAAAAACCCACAAAAGAAACAACATAAAAGGTCAAGGTATACCTTAATAAGATCAGTCATGTCAGATTTCCATGAACTTGCTTCCTGAAAAGACAGAAGAAGAGCTGTTGAAATTTGAAGGTAAAATCCATGAGACATTGGATCAGTTTTTCTGGCCGCAATGAATTCCTTGGGTTAGAGCACCACCTTCTGTCCTCAGCTAATTCACACCTTTACTTTATGACAGAGCTGGTTTATCATTTACTCAAAAATTTATCATTTATCACTCTAGAAACCTCTCAGTGATGAGGAGTCAGTAGCTAAGTGTTTAACTGACCCAACTCTCCATTTGCTAAGTCATCACATCTCTGTCTTTCTATTGACCTTTTCATAAGAGAGATTTCAAATAATTTCAGTAACTGTGTCTTTCTGCCATTCCTTATCCCATCTCATCTTGTTCTGTTGTAACAACGTCTGTTATTTGTTTAAGTTTTTAGCAACAGTGGTAAGAAAATATTTGCAACCTCAGTGGCACCCGTTTCCATTCCTAGTAAGAATAGTTAAATGTAAAATCCACAAAGTGTTACAAAATCTGTAACAAATACATCAACTATGCTATGTGACAGATGAAGCTGCATTTTCTACAGATATAGCAACAAAACCAGACAGGTAATGCAAAATATTTTTTAGGGAAATATGCAAGTTGAAACTTCCAACCACAGAAATGAACCAGCAGAATCAAAGCTATTACATTTAAAGCAAATTCACAGAGATGAATTTTCACTTTTTTTCTCCTTTCTCACTGTGTATATTGACAAGGACAGAAAGGACCACAAAATGACAGGTGGAGCCAGGAATGGCACCAAGTTAAGAGATAAAAGCCTCAGTTGTCTAAAGCTCCATGTTGCCAGCACAGAAGCAGATCTTGCAGCCCCAAAGGTACAAAACCACTAGCACAAGAAACAGCACAAGGATTCTGTGCCAGGCAATTCCTTGGAAACAGCACTCAATACAAAAAAAAAAAGTGGCAAAATGAAAAAGGAAATGCTTAAATCAGCCCTAAAGCTGACTGGAGATAAATGGAACACTATTCTTTCCCAAATGGGAAAATTACATCAGCTCTGTAGAGAACAGGCAATGAAAATATCCAGAGCCTTAAAACAAAAAAATAAACTAACTTATTTTTTTCTCTTTCTGTCCTTCCCTCTCTCTCACCTATTTTATGTCTGGGACAATGGCAGGCAGAGTCCATTGCACACCCAGAGCATTATTCAGCCTCAAAGCTCTTCCCCACACAGAGACTCCAATATTTCAATTAATTGTAAACAGATGTGGATCTTTTTACAGGTGTAGAAGAGCAACACTTTTACTGATATCAGACCTTTATGTTTTTCTCTACATTTTTATTCCCCTTCTTCAAAACCCTGCTCATGGTGATTAGATTGACTTTACCTGCAGAATGTTGTGCATTTCTCTTCTCAGCTTTCCAAGATCTTGAAGTAAATCATCTGCTTTTTGCACTGTCTTCTCAATTGAGTTGTAGCTTTCAAAAGAGGGAAATAAGTCTGCAGGCAAAGCATTGTGTCTGAGGGGAGAAACACTCCTGGTTACACCTCTCATGGCTCCTGAGGTGGCCCAAGAAAGGATTCAACTGTGAAACCAAGCAGGAATTTACAGTGCAAGTACCAGACTTTCAGATAAACTGGAACTTGCTTTGGCATCTGAAGTTACAGAGAGGGTACTGGGTTTTCTCTGTTTACCACTTAACACCTTCAGCCCAATCCTTTTATTTTCAAAAGTGAAATTACATCTAATAGAGCAACACTTATCCAAAGATATGGGATATCTTTCCATTTGAAGCAATTAACATTTTTGTGCATACTGTTCTAAATTAGACAGCATATATGAGAAGTTTCTCACTGGATTAGTGAAATTATAACTTTACATTATTGCCTGGGGAAAATATGCTTCAGACTGCATGGCTGAGAACATTTTTTCCTCCCATTTTAAATCTTGGGAATTGTTAGGTGGATGCTGCTCCTGCAAAACACTCCAAGTGCAACCTGCTGACCTCTGAGAAAGGTGTTGTGAGCTATCCTTAGCAGCAAGCTTTCACCTGCCTGCAGTTCAACAGGAACCACAGAATCCTGGAATATCAGAGCTGGAAGGGACCCACAAGGATCAGAGAGCAACTCCAGGCTCTGCACAGACACCCCAACAATGCCACCTGTCCCTGAGAGCATTGTCCAAGCTCTGAACTCTGTCAGGCCTGGGGCTGTGCCCATTCCCTGGGCAGTGCCCAGCACCCTCTGGGGGAAGAACCTTTCCTGACATGCAACCCAAACCTGCCCTGGCACAGCTCCAGCCATTCCCTCAGTAAAAGGTAATGCCAAAACAGAAATACTCCAGCACAGCTGTGCCAGACTGCAGGACCACACAGAGACTCTGTTACACCAGCAGTGTCCAATGCACCTCTCTCAATTTCACTGAAACAGAAACTCTCCCTCAGTTTTGGATTGTTGTGTTTATCCACCTGTCTCTGTCAGCATGCCAGTTCCTTTCATTGCTGTTTAATGCTGTCTTCTTGGAATATTCCATTTGCTTTAGTTGTGTTTCTTGAGAATTCAAAACGTGTTCCAGACCCTTCCCTTCACCTACAATGAAGTTAAATGAAATAGAAAAAAAAATGAAGTTAAGCTAGTTCAATTTATTTAATATTTTCTTTTCCTTTCCAGGTATTTCACTATACTCACCAAGGAGAGTAAAATATTATTAAATTTAAATATATAGATCTATTTCAGATAAGGCAAGTCACTTAGAACCACTCACACTAATCTGTCTTTCTGAGATTGCTTTAAATTAGTAAAGCTAGATGGAACTGGGATGGCAATGAACTGAGTCACTGAGAACAAATCTGTGACATTATGGACAGCATGCTTCTTTTGTCTTGTTTCATTTATTCCTGGACCCACTGAACAATAGGAATACCTGACAGCTTTGTAACAGAGACAGAACCTGATCAAACGCAGCAAAAGAAAATTACTTTACATTTGCTTTACATCTGCTGCTTTCAATATAATAATCCAGAGACCTTGCAGACCCATGAAAAAATGAAATAAAAATTCAATTTAACCAATATTAATGGCAAAGTTATTAAGCAGCTCCCATGTTTTACATTATTCTGTCTAATCTTCCTGAAACTTGACTTTGAAAAGTATTTCAGTGAGCAGTCCTGCTGAAACTCTATAGATTAAATCAGCACTGTCTTTAAGTCTTTAGTTACTTATGAGTAAGTGACTTACACACAAAACTAACCCTTCCCAAATGTAGATTCCAAATCTTCTCAATATATGCATTTAAATGCCAGCAACCCAAGGGAAAAGGTCAGAAAAGATGAGGAATACACAAAGTAACCACCAGGCCATGCTAGTTAGGCCAGTGGAGGACAATACCTTCTCTTGTAGGTTTGGGAGTATTTTCTTTTTCTACTACAGAGTTTTCTTTCTCTGAGATCTTCCCATTTTTGGGTACAGGTTCTGGAGCATATCTTCGAGGCACTGGTGTCTTTAGAGGAGATTTTTGTGTAAGACCCCCATGACTTGGAAAATTGCTTGAATATGCTTCAGGGAACACTAAAAAAAATAAAGTTATTTAAATGTTGACAATTTTCTCCAAAGGAAATTATGTCATAGAATCACAGAGTTGTTTGGGTTGGAAGGGACTTTAAAGATCAGCCAGTTCCAACCTCCTGCCATGGGCAAGACACCTTCCACTATCCCAGGTTGCTCCAAGCCCTGTCCAACCTGGCCTGGAACACTGCCAGGGATCCAGGGGCAGCCATGGCTTCTTTGGGCAACCTGTGCCAGAGGCTCACCACCATCACAGGAATTTCTTCCTGGCATCTAATCTAAACTTACATTCCTTCTGTTTGGAGCCATTCCCCCTTGTCCTATCACTACCTGCCCTTGCAGACTCTAGGAAAAAAAATCTAGGAAAAGCCCCATTCCAGGTCTATAAATTCTGCACAAAAATGTAAAGAATTACAGCACTAGTTAAGTAAACAGGAAGAAAATGTCATATTTCTGACTGCTACCATAAGGGGATTAAAAAAAACCAAAACCCCACTGCAGTTCATCACAGGCTTCCACACAGGTTATGTCTCAATAAGATTATTTTAAGTCCAGGCACCTCCTGGTGCAGACTTCAGTAAATCAAAAGTCTCACTTTAATTTAGAGTGGAAGATACTGGAACATCTTCAGAATGTCACAAAAATGATAAAGAGCATTGGGAAATCAAACGAATTAAACAGAAGAAATATTTACTACTCATTACTGCTGTGATACACAATCCAATATTAATGGACACCAAATTAATGCAAAACTAACAATGAAAATAAGAATATGTCTCCACCTTGGGCAGCTGCAGCACTGGCAGGAAATAAACCCCTGTGAGATGAAGGTGCTTCATTAGTGAGTGATCTCTGCTCTGGCTTCTCCCAGTGCCCTGCCAGGGGCCCAGGGGCAGGCACAGGACCCTGCTGCAGGCCACGGGTGCTCACTGCAGAGCTGATGAGATGGGACTGGGAGACAAAAGGACAGAGGATTTCTGGTCATAATCACGGAATTATTAAGGTTGAAAAGACCTTTAAGATTACCAAGCCCAACTCTTCTCCCAGCACCACCATGTTCCCCACCAAACCAAGTCCTCCAGGGCCACATCCATGATTTCTGAACACTTCCAGGGATGGTGACTCCACCATCCCTGTGCATGTTCCAATGCCTGACCACCCTTCAGTGAAGAATCCCCTAACACCCAACCAAAACCTGAATTTCCCCTAATACCCAGCCCTGGTGCAGCTTGAGGCCATTTCCCCTGAGCTTTCCCAGCTTCCTCAGTCATTCCTGGGGCTCCAGACCCTTCCCTAGCTCCATTCCCTTCTCTAGACATGTTCCAGCCCCTCAGTGTCTTTCTCATTGTTGAGTGCTTTCACTTTGATCCACTTCCACTGAACTTTCTTTCTTTCTACTACTAAGAAACAATCCAAATTATTATAACATCAACATTGAGATACAGAAGAAATTATTAACCTGAATATTCATTTGTTGCTCCTGTAGCTTTTCCAGGTGCTGAATCCTCTGCACCATGAAGGCATTCATTTGTTTTTCAAGCTCACTGACTCTCTGCTGGTAGTGGGGCTCCTCATGTTGAGCCTTTGTATTTTTTTGCTGTTCAGACACTCGTTGCAGCTGCCTGTCTGTATCCTGCAGTTTCTGAAGCAATTCTGAAACTGAGTTCACTTTTGCTTCCAAATCATTTTGAACCTGCAATAAATAATTTAAAAAAAAAAAGGAAGGGAGAAAAAACCCCATTATTTTAGATGTGTGAGCATCAAAAGAACAAAACATCCTTCACAGAATCCTGGATTTGCATCCCAAAAGAAACAAAAACTTTTGGTGGTTTAGCAATATTGTGAATTTCTAATAGATAAATCATAGATAAATAGATAAATGTTCTCTGTCTTCTGCTCATTTAGTTAAATCCAAATTAGTTCCCTCTGGTATATTGATCAGCAAGTGTGAGATGACAAACACACAAAGCAGTAAGCAGACAATTTCAGGCTCTCTGGAGCTACCATCAACAATTTCAGGCTTGTTTGGAACATTTACTATGTTAAGAGGACAAAGAACTGCTACTCCCACTGACCTTGAGGAGTGGAGCTGTGCTGGCAATGGCAGCAGCAGTGGCTGCTGCAATGGTTGTTGCAGACTCAACTTCCCTGGCTGCTGTCCTGGTGTCACTCCCAGCACCTTCCCTTTTTTCTGTGGAGGCATTTCCCAAGAGCTGCACCTTCACCTCCTTATGAACAGGAATAACCTGAGTTCTAGAAAAATTAAAAAGTGCCTGTAAACAGCATTTTCTCCATATCTCCTCCAAGCAAATATTTCCCACATACAGCATTCATATCACTGTGTATGCCAAAACTTCCAGGAGAAATGCAAAGATACTCCAGGGAATAAAATCAACACTTTCATGCACAGAAAAAGAACACTGTCAGAAAACAGTAAAAAAACACTTCTTCCTTACCAGCTATGCATTTTTGGCACAAAACTGAAGTGGTGTAGTTGTACAGAAACAGAACAGCTCAACAATTCACACTCACTTTTGCATTAACACTGCTCTCAGAGCCTCCTTCTGGCCAGTAGCATACTGGGAAATAAAAACATCATCTGTGGGGAAGGACAAACATCCTTGGTTGAGATAATTGGCACAAAATGTCTATTTCACAGGTAGAGACAAAGTACAATACATTTAATTTTGCTGTGAAGAATCTGTTGCCTGCAGGAACCACATCATCTATTGCAATAACAAATTGTTTCCTTTCAGTAAGTAGAAAATTTAAATAATGGTAAGAGTAAGAGCAGGCTTCATTTAACACAATTTTTATAGCACTGAATGCTGGTATCAATAAAGTCCAATAATGGTGAGTAAAGTCTCAATGGCAACTCAAGCTCAGATAACCCAGCCAATAAAATGCTGCAAATTCTGACTTGAAAAAAATTTAATTAAGAAAACCCCAGAAAGAGTATTTCCCTGCCATCATCATAAATTACAACAAATTTTCTTAATAGGTGCAAATCATGCTAAAAGCATTGCAGGCTCTCCCTCACCCACTGTTTGCTGGGCAGAGGAAGCAAATACTGGTAAGTCAAATAGCTGCTGCCTGTCAGTGTAAAAGTACTGATTTTTGGTCTTAACTAGGGTATTGATTTGTATTTTTTCTCCTTTACACAGCTCCAGATATCCAAGAAAACTGCATAAGTGTGTTTCCTTTAAGAGCTCTCACTTCCCTAAACCTGATTGAAATTGGCAGATTCAGAAATTAAAGGAAAAGATACTGACATTGTGATTTCTAGGATTCTTGATGATTAGAAATACACTTTTTTGGTACAGGCTGCTTGAAGAAAAATATGCCTTTGCAGCACAATAATTCACAAGAGGAAAATTAATCAAAACAAGCCCCTTCCCCAAACTGTCTATTCAGAGACATGACTATTTGGTTAACAGAGGGAATCTCAATTCTGGCACACTGGCAGAAGTTCCACTCAATTAAAAAAATGTAATGCCAGCAAGAATGAGATAAGATTTGCAAAAGTAAAGAATTTTTATTACTATTATCATCTTTATATCAAAGCAACCTTTGAATATTTTCACTCAGAAGCTTCTATAATGAAAAAAAAAACAACCTAAAAGCTTCCTTTCCTTTAATTAATCAGTCTCCTTAAAAAAAAAAATGGTGATTGGTGTGTTTTACCTTCAGGTCCTCTGCTATTTTCCAGCAGCCCCAAACGATCATCTTGTGCTGCAGCTTCTTTTGGAGGACCCTTCAGAACAAGAGCAGAAAAAGCAGAGATCAAAGCCTCTGTAACCAAAATTTTAGAGGCAGATGGAATTGCTGAGCACACAAATGGAACCATTTGCACACAGCAACACAAAGGTCTTGGCACAAAACATGACAAGACCTCTGCCACAGAAAGGTCTGGACATTGCTGGCAAGAACTCCCATGGCATTTTAGGGACTAAAACTCCACAAACACAATTCAAATCAAAACCACATATTCTAAGTGCTAAGTAAGATTATTCTCCTCATTTGTGGCCAAAGAAGCAATAGTGAAACTGAACCTGCTGAAGTTTAGAGAAGTTTCTAACCTTGGACAGTTCAGGATTGCTCACACAGAGAGAATGAAGCACTCAGTGTTAAATAAAGCCCCAGCAACAACACCACATCAGCAGCAACTCAAAGAGAAAAAGCAGCTGCACAGCTGTGCTGCAGAGGCTGAGCCAAAATCTTGTGCTGCTTTTAGAGGAGCTACAGCCTTTTGAGGAAAGCAGTGTTCTCTTAGCTCAGGATTGCAGGAAGGAGCAGCAGCTTTTCTTACCATTTGGGATAAAAACATGGGCTCTGAATTTTCAACTGGAAGCAGACACTCTGGATATGCTTTGGTGCTTAGGACTCCTAAAATAAAAGCAGTTTTGCTGTGAATCATTTGTGGTGCACTTTCTGTACAGCTCCACATTTCCCTTATTTCTGAATGCCTAAACATCATGACCCTCATAACACAAATGAGCAGAGATTGAGCTGAAGCTTAAAAACATCAATGAATTCTGTGAGTCTGAATGAGAAATTCAATTTACAGCATGGGGAAACCTCTAAAAAACAACATTACTAAACAGCTGATGCCTTGTGAAGGCTGACTAGAACAGAGACTAGATGGAACTAAAGAACAAAGCAGGGATTTATTCAGAGGCCTCAATGGATGCACCTTGGGCAGCACAAGAGCCCAGCCAGGGCTGCACCAAAGATGAACCAAAATGGTCACAAAAATGGACCACAGGTGACAGGGTCTCTAACTTTTATAAGTTTTGGTCTATTACCATATTGGAGTTAATTTTCCAATTCCAGCTTTAGCCCCTGCAGTCCCATCCTGCTTGTTTTTCTCTCTCCAGCCCACGGGGTTTGTGCTCTTGGGCTGAGATTTGGATCATTTGTCCTTGGTGCCCAGCTGGAGCAGGAATTGTTTTGTCTCCCTGCTCTGTGCACAGAGCTCACCATCCCCTCATGTGAAGCTCAGAACTCCACACTAAAGCAGCAGAAAATTTGAAAATATAACAGCTAAACCCTGAGGCATCATATCCTTTACCTAGAGATGTTCAGCGGGGATGAAGCATCCCTGCCCCAGTGGAGAGGGACAGCTTCCATCAGCCCGGGCTGCTCCGAGCCCCATCCAGCCCGGCCTGGAGCACCGCCCGGGATGCCGGGGCACCCTGAGCCCACACAGCCCCCACAGCCCACACTCATGTGCGTCATGGCTCGGGAGAACACCGAGCTGACAGCCGGGGGGCTCCCCAGCCCCACAGCCCCTCCGCGCTGACACCGCCTCAGCCCCGCCCTGGGCTCCCGGACGCACCTGCAGCGGTGCCGGTCCCGGTGCCCCCCGGAGCCCGGGGAGCTCCGTCCGCAGCCGCATCCGCGGGGCAGGGCGAGCCGCCGGCACGGAGCTTCTGCACGGCCCCGGCCCCCGGTACCGGCCCCGGCCCCGGGCCCCTCCTGGCGCCGCTACCGGCCGGGGGCTGCTCCCTGCGGGCCGCCGTGGAGCGCACCAGCACCTCGCCCGCCGTCAGGCTGCCCAGCGAGTCCCGGCTGCCGCCCGAGCCGCCGCCCGCCTCCATGGGGGAGCCGCACGGAGCTCCCGGGGCAGCGCGGGCACGGCCGGGGAGAGCCCCGCTCCTGATAGCCCGGCCCCGCTCCTGACAGCCCGGACCCGCTCCCGCTGCCCCGGCCCCGCTCCTGATAGCCCGGCCCCGCTCCCGCTGTCCCGGTCCCGTACCAGCTATCCCGGCCCCTATCCCGCTATCCCGGCCCCGATCCCGCTGTCCCAACCCCTTTCCCTCTATCCCGGCCCCGTTCCCGCTGTCCCGGCCCCTATCTCGCTATCCCAGCCCCGTTCCTTCTATCCCAGCCCCCCCGGTCCCTATCCCGCTATCCCGTCCCCGTTCCCGCTGTCCCGGCCCCTATCTCGCTATCCCACCCCCGTTCCTTCTATCCCAGCCCGGTTCCCGCTGTCCCACCCCCGTTCCCGCTATCCCAGCCCCTATCTCGCTATCCCACCCCCGTTCCTTCTATCCCAGCCCCGTTCCCGCTGTCCCGGCCCGGCCGGCGGCACCGGAAGCGCGCGGTGCCATGGCCACGGCGTCCCCTTAACCGGCGTCCGGCGGGAAACGCGCGGGTCCTCCCCTCAACGGCGTCCGGCGGGAAACGCGCGGCCCCGGCAGGGTAAATCGGGCGGCGGCTCCGCGCGCGGCCGATTCGCCGCCCCGTGGCGAATCTGCGGCGCCGGGCCCGGGCCCGCCTCGTGCGCGCGCGCGCGCGTGGCGAATCTGCGGGGCCGGCGCGCGGGCGGTGAGTGCGCGCGGGCGCGGAGCGGGCGAGGGAGCGGGCGCGCGCCCGGGAGGGACCGGGAGGGACCGGGAGCCTTCCCGTGGCCCGGGAGAGCCCGGGAGACACCGGGAGCCTCCCCTTGAGGACCCGGGAGAGCCCGGGAGCGTCCCCTTGAGGGCCCAGGAGACACCGGGTGACTCCCCGTGGTCCACGAGGGTCCGGGAGCGCTCCCGAGGGCCCTCAGCGGGGAGATCCCGGTGTTGGGCCGGGCTTCGCTGAGGGGGCGATTCCCGAGCGAGAGGAACTCGGTGTGCCCTTGGAAGGGAGAACTGGGGGATGGAGTAGAAGGAGAAGAGCAAAAAAAGATAAAGCTCGGCCTGTTCGGCTCAGGTTTTGGTTTTGTCGGGTGAGAAGCGTCAGCCGGGTGTGATCTCGCTCAAAGAGGAGAGTGCTGGGGGGAATGTGTGTGTTTTCCCTCAGGCCTGGTGCCCGTACACGCGAGGCCAGGCTGAGCCTGGTAACTCCCCTTTGCTGCTCCATTTCCACCTCCGATCCTTCTCCCTCAGAGCAGGGTCCAGGCCAAGCGCAGGAGGCAGTGAATGATAAGCTGAGCACGAGCTGCACCTGATTTTCCAGCTCCTGACTCGCCCCTCTCATCTCACCCTCTCCATCTCACTTCCATAAATGCCTCTTAACATTAATTTGTTTGGGCTTCTTTTAAGTTTGAAGGCAATCCAGTTGTAGCCTAGTAATCCCCCATGATAAGTTTCTCTAGAAGCTGTGGGGAGTTTACCTTGACACAATTCCTTGACTTGAGATTTTTATTCTTTGTCTCATTTCTTTGACTTGATGCTTTTACCCTTCTTTTTCCTTCTCAGAAACACTTGTGTGGTGTTTTCTGTGTGCAGCTGGAAGCAAAGGTTGAAAGAGACATTCCAGCTTTCTTTTTATGGAGTAGGTAGTGGCTACAGCTGATTCAGATGGTTAGTGGGGATTGCAAGTGTGAGGGATTTATTGTACTCTTCTTCCCAGAAAAATGCAGCTCTTCTCAAAAAGGTGGGGAGGGCAATCCCAAACACAGGGCCTGTTTATTTTGATCAGAGGGACTTCTCTTAATGGAACTTACATATTTGGAAGAGGCTTTCAAGAAGGGAGATTTCCCAGTTCTTGTTCCTTTCTGGTGACGCAGCACACCCAGGCTGCGTGTCCCTTGCAGCAGAGGTTTATTCAGAGGCCTCTGCTTCCTGCAGTGTGAACATCCTTGCTTGGAGAGGCAGTGCTGAATTTTCTAATCGTGTTTAGCCCACGGGGTTAAGCCTGAGCCTGCAGGGGTGGTGTGAACAGCTCTGCAGGGAGCTCTGGGCTGGGTTGGCTGAGGTGCTGGGCGCTCTTTCATCACCCTTTAAAAGCTTTTTGCAGAGTTGGAGGGAAAGGGGAGAAGCAGCAGGAAATCTTGGAAGAATACATTTAGCCTATTTTGGAACAAAGCAGGTTTGCACATTCCTGGGAATGTTCAGTAGCTGGTTTTTACATGTAAGACTGATTTATTGCTGAAGGTGCAGCAGAGCCTTGTAATTCCCCTGTGGAATGTGTGAAATGCCTGTACAGGGACAAGCGCTTCAGGCACTTCAGATCAGGCTGTGCTGATGTGAATCAGAGCCTTTCCCAGGTGTCAAGGTCTGTGAAACTCCAGCTTCAGTCTGCCATTTCCAGTCTTGCCAAGTCAGTCCCAGAAGGACAGGGATCAGGTTTGCTGTAAACACAGATCATGGGGCAGCCCTGAGTGTGGGAAAATGGCACCGACAGGTGAAACTCTGAGCTTCCTGCCTTTGGCAGAGGACAGAAGTGCTCCCTGCAGTTTCTGTTTAATTATCCACATACCCCGCCCCGGGAGAACTGTCACTGCTCTTGTTTTCTCACAGGTGAGAAAGAGAGAGTGGACTTGCCACCACTTCTCTCCAGTGATGGGCATGTCCATGCTCCTGAAACAAATCAGGGGTTTAGGAGAGAGGGACTCTGGACAAGGGCATGGGGTGACAGGGCAAGGGGTGGTGGCTTTGCCCTGCCACAGGGCAGGGTTAGGTGCTGGAAAGAAATCCTTGAGTGAGCGTGGGGAGGCACAGGGTGCCCAGAGATGCTGTGGGTACCCCATCCTTGGAATTATTCCAGGCCAGTCTGGAGGGGCTTGGAGCAGCCTGTGGATAGTGGAAGGTGTCCCTGCCATGGCAGGAGGGTGGAATGAGATGATCTTGAAGGTCCCTTCCATCCCAAAGCAGTCTGTGACTCAGTGACCACCTGAATAAAAGCTGGTTCCTTGTTCCCACCATAACCTGTGTGACCTGCCTGCCCCTGGGGAGTTCTTGCATCTGACATCCCAGATCATCTGTGCCCTCGGCCTGCAGTCTCTGAACTGGCTCCCTGTGAGGCATAAGGTGTGGTGACATCAGGAGGCAGATGTCACCATCGCTGTGCTGTAGGACAGCTCACTCTTGTGAGAGCTCCCTGATGCTATTTTTAGTTGCTTCGTTTTCTTTCTGTTGTAGAAATAATTGTTGCTGTCTCTTTGTTCATGTTCAGCTACCCTTCCCTTCCCACTGCTGAGAGACTGCAATAACTAAAGCTCTCTAAAACATGAATGTCTTTGGCCCAAAAATTGGCAAAGCATAATAGAAGATTAATTTTAAGTAGCCCTCACTAAAGGACTAAAATTATTTTTTTTCCCCAAGTGACTGCACTTCAGTGCTCGTTTTTCTTCCACAAGTTGAATTAAACCAAGGAGCTTGTTCTTGCCAACACGTGATATTAGTTTGCATTGTCATCTGTGATAACAGGTCTTAGATAACATGGAAATTAAGGGAAAAGGAAGAGCAGGCTTCAGTCTTCTAGGAAACCTGCAGGGATGCTTTCAAGCCTTAACTTGTTCACTGTGTTGGGTTAGGAATGTGAGTCTTCCTTGAGGATACTTGCTTAAATTCTTAGATCCATGGCTGTTTACTTTTTTTCCCTTTTTCTTTGTCTGTTTCGTTCCATTTTCATTGTTCTGTGTTCTTCTTGCATTTAATTCACTACAATAACCACAACATTTGCTGCAGTTCAGGTGTTTGGTGCAGCTACACAGAAACCAGGCCCTGCACCTTGTGCTGCATCTGTTCAGTGACTGCCAGTTTCTATTTGCCTTTTTTCCTTACTTTTTACAGATCCCATCTAAAATCACTGAAACTCCAAGGCTAGAAAGTGTTATGACTTTGCTCCTTCCCCAGCTCCTGCCCTAGCTTATTTAGTAAGTTTGACAGCACTTATAGAATACCTTATTTGTTTTTATAAGTCACTATAGCTGTGTGAAATGCTCTAAAAGTCTTTAAAGGACAGTAATTAGCAGGTGGATCTCGTAAGATTTCATGCCTGGAATTATCTTGGATGGTTTTTTTAACTGAATGCATTCCCAACAGGTAACTTCCCTTTGAGTGAATGGCTTGGAAGTTTGCTAGCAAAGTTGCATTTAAACACTTCAAGGGTGCACAAAATTCCATTCTGATGTAAAATTTTGCAGTTCATATTTATGTTTTTTTATTTAAAACTCGACTTTTATCCTCACCTTTAGGTGACTGAGCCACAGGAGGTGGAACATGGCTGGACAAATATCAGAGGCTGATCAGATCAAGCAGGTGAGGTGCTGCATTTGGGAGGGGTGGTTTGAAAGCCTTGTGCTGCTGTCACAGGGAGTGGAAGGTGTAGTGCACAGGGAAGGACAAAAACTGAGTTATCAGCTGAGTTAACACAACCAAAACTTCAGCAGGTGACCATTGACAAACAGCATGTTTTGTGTACGAGCAGCTTTTGGTGCTGAAACTTCTGACTAAGAGTAAATTTTTCTAGGGACTTATCCTTCAGATTTCCTTACACTATGCAGCTGTATGTAAGAAAAATAAACACTGATTTTAAATTTTTTTTTTAATATTCGTTGTCCAATTTTTATTTACAGTTCAAAGAGTTTCTTGGCACATACAATAAACTTACAGAAAACTGCTTTGTGGATTGCATAAAGGATTTCACTAGCAGAGATGTGAAACCAGAAGAGGTAGGTGATGGCTTCTAATGACTCTTTGGCAGAATTGCTGTGCAGCATTCCAATTTCAGAAGCAACTGAGAGAGTTTTGATCTTTAAACTAAGATGGAAAGCAGCAGCCTTCAGTGGAGTGTGGGTGTGTGGCATGTTGCTTCCAAGAGAGTGTCCCATCCCAGCCCAGCTTGGACAGGGCTTGGAGCAGCCTGGGACAGTGGAATGTGTCCCTGCCCGTGGCAGGGGGTGGAACTGGATGCTCTTTAGGGTTCCTTCCACCAAAACCATTCTAGAAGTGGTTGTCACACACAGAATCTGCCCAGTCCCCACTGCATGTTGGCTGCTCATTGCAATTCTGTGTGTTTCATTCCCTGAGCTGTCAGTGGAGGTTCTTGTGCCTTAACTTCTCATGGATGGTGACTCCATGGACATGGAAGCTGCCCACCCACAGCCTGCATCTCATTCTTTGAGGAATCCTGCTGAAATATTTGTTTACCTGCCCACGTTCCTGCTTTGCAGTGAGTCATGGGAGCACAGCTCTGGCTGTTCAATCCACTTCCCTGCACTGCAGGGAGCTCCCTCTCGTCGTCATCTGCAGAAAGATTAAGCTCTCCATAAGATTAGTTGCATGGTTTTGCTTCTCCTCTCCTGTTGAGAGGCTGTTTCAGAGCCTAATCACTTTATTGGTTAAAAATCTAATAACCTTTGCTTGACTCCGCTGGCAGAAAAAAAAAAGCCTAACATTTTAAACAAACCATTGTTTTTGAGCCTTTTCTGCCTCCTTGGAATTCAACTCCTCACTGCAGGCAAAACTCATGTCTCCTTTCAGCTTTGGTTCTGCTGCCCTGAACAGAGCTCTCTCAGCTTCCCAAGACAGATTTCTTCTTTCCCAATCTTCTCTGCATCTGCTTTAGTGGAATTATATTACAGGTCATAATTATTGTGGATTAAAGATTACTTAGGTCCAAAATATTCTTAGATTCCTGGAGCAACCTGCATTAGTGGGAGGTGTCCCTGCCACAGCAGGGGGCTGAAATGAGATGATATTTAAGATCCATCCCAACCCAAACCATTTTCTGATTGTCACCTGCCTCTTTTTGCTTCTGTGGATTGCAGAGGGTTCATGTCTGGCAGCACAGGAGCCATCTGTTCACAGAGGAACTAGGAAGAGACTTTCTTCTGGGAAGTTCTGCCCAGATTGTCCATTATGGGATTTCCTGTCTCTGGAAACAGGACACTTGTCTAGATGGACACTGCGATGGAAATTCCCATGTTTCTCTTGAGAGTTGTAGTTTCTTATTAAATAGTTGAGGTTTATACCTCCACACATCCCCTTTGGGATCCTACACTTGAAAAAACCCAACTTCTGAGCTCTTTCCTCACCCAAGTGCCAGTGCAAGTCTGGACTCCCCAGCAGCGTCACGCACGCCGCTCCCTCTGGCACCAGAGGCCTGGGGCAGTTCCAGAAGTTGTTTCCTAGGGAGACTCCACTCCTGCTCAGCAGGTTTGGCTGTAGCTGGTGCCAGGCTGAGGACAGAGAGGGGCAGGGGCTGGGTGCTGTGTGGAGTTGCTGGGGTTCTGTCCAGTTCAGTTCATCCCTTCTGCTTTCCACATCCTCTGTACTGAGCAGAACCAAAGCAATGTCTGCGCTCCCAGGCAAAGGGGTTGGCTTTCCTTTCTACCCAAATCTGTTACCTTTGCAGTGATAGCTTTGAGCCATGGCACAGAATATCCAATTAGTAGGACTGTAGCTCAGAAATCATCTCACAGCTCTTTCTCTACACTATAAATTTGAAAAATACTGTGGATGGAATAGGCTCTGGTATTTATTTCCCAGTTCAGCTGACTGATGTACTCTGGTGGCAAGGCAGGTAGCAGAAGGCTGATAGAGCCAATGGGAACAAGGGTAAAAAAGGGTTAAACTAAGTTAGCAGAGAGCAGATCATATTTGGGTGTCAAAGCCAGTATGTCTTTGTAAACAGAATTAAAACAAAACTTCCTAATTTAATAGATTTATTATTAATTTCAAAATATATAGTTCAGTTCCACAAGAGGAGCCCAAGGACAAAAGGATGGTATCTCCCAGGTCCAGGGTGTTTTCCATGGAGACTTTAATATGAGAATGAATATTAGTAAATGTTTCAGGCATACCAGAAAAAATCAACTTTGCATTTCCTACTGCCTTCATCTTGACAGTATGGGATGTACTCACCTAATTGTTTATCCCTGTCTGTGGTGATATTTTGGGTCCTGGTTGGGGATGTGTTTAACTTACTGTCTGAAGCCCTGTGTTTCCCTCTTGCTGCAGATAACTTGCTCAGAAAACTGCTTGCAGAAGTATCTAAAGATGACACAGAGGATCTCCATGAGATTCCAGGAGTACCACATCCAGCAGAACGAGGCTCTGGCAGCCAAGGCAGGACTGCTCAGCCAACCTCGTTAGAGCCGAGCACCGTGCTCAGACTTACCTGTGCCAAGAACACACTGGGGGATTCCTGTAAGGATGTGTGTCCAGCAGCTCAGAGCAGAGCTCAGGCAGTGGGAGCAGAAGGGTTAAACAGGAGCTCAGTCCTGATGGCCTTGCAGTGGAGTTTGTTTCCACAAGGGAATGATGCAGATAAAACATTTCCCAGGGCCCACAGACTGGTGTCTGCATTTCAGGGGTGGTGGGAGGGCTCACCTGCCTTTTGCTGAAACTGGTTGAGATGAATCAATGTAATGTGGGGAATACACTTTTTTATTTAATTCAAATAAAATCAGCTGGAGCCATATACACCTGTGTGTTCTTTCCAAAGAGTCATTTTTGGGACATTTGAAAGCAGCATTTTGTTTGCTGGGGGCTCTTTGCTCAGCTGCTCCAGAGTTCTGTTCAGTCACTGCTGCTTTAGGAGCTGACAGATGCCAGAGGGAGCTCAGGCAGGGGTGCCCCAGGTCATCTTTGGGTCATTTACAGGGGACAGAGGGAGCCCATGGCATCCTCCCAGCCCAGCTGCCTGGCCTGACACACTCCAAGCACTGAGCTTGCTGCAGTTTTCTCCTTTCTCCTGTGAATGCCAGCAGGAAATACAGGCTCTGCACAGCACAGGGTCTGTCCTGCTGCTGCATGAGCCCAGAGAGAGGTTTGGAAGGCAGCTGGACTGGGTTAGCAAACACAGCAGTGCTTTGGAAGGATCCTGACAGCTGAACTCCTGCAGTCAGGGCGTTAGTGCATGGAATGACAGTCAACAGGCACCTGTGCTTCAGTTCTCACTCACAAAATACAGGGACAATGGGAACAGCATCAGGAGCACCAATTTTGAGACTCCAGGTGATGAGGAGTGAACCAAAGCTATTTCATGTCAGCTGCCAGGTTCTCTTATTGATAGAGAGGCAACAGCAAAGAACAGGAAGGGCAGGAGGACTTTTTCGTTGTTACCTTCTCTGCCTTTCTGTTTCCAGCAGCAGCTTGAATGAGTAACTCAGCTGTGCAGGCTGTGGATTCCTGGCTCCTGAGGGCAGCACAGTGCCCCTGCAGCAGACTCTGCTCTCTGTGCTGCAGCTCTCCCTAGAACCCTGTTCTGCTTGCAAAGGTGGAAGGAGCCAGTGTGAGCCTCCAGTCTCACATCCCTGTGTTTGTATCACAGCCCCTTCTCCTTTGCCTCTGCCTTGTTACCCTGGAGATGGATGAGAGCTCGCTCTGAAATAGTGAAGGATAAAAACCAGCCCAAATAAGGCAGCAAGTCTGCAAGGTCCTGTTTTTGCAAAGGAGTATCAGGCTGAAACTGTGCAGATTGTTTGCTACAATCAGGCCACAAATGCTGCAGCTAAATTGAATCAATACATGCATAGTAAAGACTGAAGGCTTTCACTGAAGCAGCTCTCTTTTTGTTAAACATTTGAAAGTAATTAATGATTGAGATTTTCCACTGGATCTTCATGTGCAAAGAGGTGCTCAGAAAAGTGCCTGAAGAGCTTAACTGATGGAAGTGGAGGATTTTCATGTTTTCTGAACAAAGCAGCTGGGGGCTGAAGTGAGGGAGGTTAAAAAATTAAAGGGTTTCTCTCCTTTTAGTATTTGAAGCTAGGAAAATATTTAAATATTTATTAGGACAGATTTCCTGAAAAAATGGTTAAGCAAGTTTTAGAGGGACTTAGTTAATAAATTTCCCACTTTCTGATTTGGATAACCAGTTTTGTCAAAGCTCTGTTTCTCTACAAAAATCTTGGGGTCTTTCACATCCAGGTGACAGGTTGCATACAGACAACACAAATATATTTGAGCTTGGAAATAAAATGCATGTAATTAAAGCATGTGATAAAAATAAGTAATATAAAATAGGATAAAAATGGTTTTACTCTGGATCCTAACAGACAACAGCATTTTCTTAAGTGCCATTAAGGGGTGTCAAGAGGAGGTGAATCACCTTGCTGAGGCACAATAGGTGCAGGAGGGGATCCCACTCTGATGGAAGAAGGAGCAAAGGGTGAAAAATGGGAAGCTGCTGAGGGAGGAGTACTGAGAAAGCTGTGGAAAAAGTGAGCCAAAGTGGAGGTGGGAGGGGAGGGAGCAGGAGGGCAGCCTGCCAAAACCCAGCTCAAGGAAACTGAGCTGGTAAACAGACACTCATCTGGGGGAGATGCTCACTGCAGCAGCAGTGGGGGAACACGGATCCTTCCTGCTGCACACACAATTCCTCCGCAGCCCACAGAAAGCAGAACCTTTTCAGCAGCAAGGGTCAAACAAGAGCCTTGCTCCAGAGTGCCCTGGACAGCACAGTGCTGGCACAGACACCAGATCAATCAGCTGGAAGATTATAATAGAGGCTCCTTGAATTCTCTCCAGGATAAAAGCAAAGCCCCAATTTATGTAATCCCCTGCTGAGAGCTTCAACTGCTGAGCTCTGTTGGAAGGCAAGAAAAGGAGTGACTGCAGAGCTGTCAGGGAGTGTGGGTGAAACACTGAGTGTGGCTGTAGCTTCAGAGCAAGCAGGCAAATCCTGTGTGCTCTGGCATTCCCCACTCTGGGAACTGGAGCTTAGCAACAGCTCTTGGTTCAGCATCTTCTCTCAGCTAGTCAGGAAGTCAGCACAAGGCATTTGAGGAATCCAGTGCAAACCTTAGGAAGTCCATTAAGCTCAGCTCCAAAATTCCTTGAATGAATCTGACCCAAACTCTAAAAGCAATTAAAGCCTCTGACAGCATGCCTTTACCTTGGATTTCCAGAGGACATAATTAAAAGAGCTCAAAAAGTTATAATTCTGCTTCATATTGGAGGGTTTTAAAAATTATGTTTTACCTTAACTTCACACTCCTTTGTGTTTTGGTGTCAGGGAGCAGCAAGTTCTTCACAATAAATGCCAGGTAAAATGCATATGTTACAGAATTTTACAGCAACAACTGGAATTAAATCAGGGGAAGTACATTAGTGCAGATTAAATTTCTGCAGATTAATCTGTCATTGAATTATTTGCCATATTGCACCAAAAGGCACAGGGAGGTGGCTGGGTCACATCAGAAGGCACTTGGAGGATGGATCCTGGGGCACCAGGAGAGGGGCAGGGTCACCACTGGAGCACTCAGAGGCCACAGGGACTGCTGGGGCACAAGCAGATACTCCTGGGGGGGTTGGAAGTAGGTGATCTGTGAGAGTCCTTTCCAATCCAAACTGGTTTTTGATTCTCCAGAGACATAAGGAAATGTCTTATGGAAGATCTGGAAGAAGAAATAGCACATTTCTCTGCTTGCCTGCACATCCCCAGCTCCAGCAAAGCTCTGAGGCTGGCAGGACATTGCAGGGGGTGCTGTGAGCAGTGTCCTCCCTGGGCACTGGGACAGCCCAAAAGTGAAGGTTTTATAAAAAAGCAGCTCTGGGCTGAATGTAACATCAGCTGATCGTTCAGAGGCACAGAGAGGTGTTACCCTGCATGAGATGCTGCCCAGTGCCTCTGAGCCAAAGAGAAATCACATTCTCATCAATTGTTCAGGGCTCTCCAAAGGAAAAGCAGGAAACAAGAACAGGAGCAGCCAAACCAGAGGCACAGAGATCAGCTCCCTCTTGCCCTGCCTGTGGATAACATTATTCCATAATTATTCCCACTGGATTAAGTGGGGCTGCTCTCACATTCTGAGTTCATCACATTCAAATACCTGCACAGACCAACATAACATTTTACCTCTCACTGGTTCCAGTGCCAAAACATTTCCATATCAGAGAGGGATTGTCCTGCCCACCTGAGGGAGCCACTGCCCCTGAGCACCTGTCCCCATCCGTGCCACTGGGATGGCACACAGGGGTCCCCTGCAGGGTGGGAAGCAGAGCACGTGCAGAAGGAATTAAGGGTTGGGGCTTTCTTTATTTTTCCTTTTAAAACAGCTTTATTTATTCATAAGGGAAATAAAGGAGCATCAAGAGAGATGGTTTTAAGTTACACATAAATTACTACTTAGAACAGAAAGAAAACACAGTCTTGTGCAACATAACAAAGTATTTCATACAAATTCCACATCTTACCCCTCCTTCTGAAACTGGCATAGCTGGCAGGAGCACGGTAAATTAGGTCAAGCTGTACCCAGATGAGGGATTAGAGGAGGAGTTTAGGAAGAGCTGAAGACACCGACAGTGCTGGAATGGAAATGCTGTTGGGTTACTCTGAACAGCAGGAAAAGAAACACCACCAAACCCACAGCACCAAGCCAGGGCAGCGTGTCCCCCAGCAGCAGGCTCAGGGTTAAACACAGAGTGACAACCCCTGCAGGCTGTCACAGCTGCAGCACAGCTCCAGGGCAGCTTTTCTTTGCTGGCAAACACTGGCAGAGGGAAAGTGAAGCAAAGTTTCCGTGGTTAGTGCAGTGAGTGAGCTGTGCTGGTGCACTGAGGCCAAGTGGCATCAAACAAAGCCACTTCTCATGTCTGAAAACTCCTGGTGAGGGATAAGCAGGAGCACAAGGGTGTTAACCAATGTAAACAGCTGCAGAGCTGAAGCAGAACCAACCTGCTCTGAGCCAGAACTGAGGGTTCCTCTGCAATGGGAGGGAGCAGGAATAACAGCATAAATAGCAGAGATAATTCAAAACAAAGAAGACAGCAGACAAGTCCTATTCTTAGAAAAACTGCTTTCACAATCAACAGTTTGATCCTTCCAGTTTTCTTTAAATGACAGCATGGTGAGGATTTGTCATTGAGCTGTGGCTAATCATAAAATCCATCACTCACTGGCACTGGAACAAACACACCATCAGACTAAAAACACTGGAACACAAAAAGAAGAATTTACATATCCATCCAAAGCAATGGATGGGACTAATAAATAAATACTTGTGCAATCTGGGGAACTCACAGATCTTCAGAGCAAACAAAAGACCCAAAATAAATCCCAGCTACTCAGTGGGAACTGATGAAGGTGAGTAATTTTAAACACTGAGACCTCTTAAAATCCCATCCTATTTGGTGTGAGGTAATATGGGAGAATGACAGATTTTCTCAAAATCTGAGAGCAATACCTTAACAGTGTGAGCTAATTACAAAATGTCATTTTCTTAGCTCTGGAATTACAGTGAGTCAGCCTCTGGCAACATCCCCTTTGGTTCCACTGTTTTGTTATGTCCCCCACATCTCCAGAGCCTCACTGTAGCAAATAATAAAATCCCAAGACCAGAAAAGGAAAAATAACCAAGATTTCAGTGCATAATTTTTGCAAAGGGTAGAGGCACAGTGAAGTAAACAGCTCAACATACTTTTGTGAACACATTAATCTTTTATTTCAGCTGGTAAATCTGGCTCCTGGCTCATGTC